AACCAAGGTACATGCCCTTGACCGGAATTGAACCCAGGACCCTTCAGTCCGCAGGCCGACGCTCTATCCACTGAGCCAAACCGGTCACGGCTATCTTTCACTTTTAATAAAGCCCCTGAATTGGGATTGGCCCCCTTCAGTGCCCCTCTGGGTGGCCACCTTGCTGCTTACCCTGTCTTCTCCTTTCAGGGAAACAAGCATTTCTAAAGCTGGCCCTCCATGGGGCGTGGACCAGCCCCTCCACCTGCTAGAACCCGCTCCCTCCGCCTGCAGGCACAGTCTAGGCTCCCCCTTCCTTAGCCTCCAGCCAGTGTTCCTCCAGAGTTACTCCTCCCCGCCCGCCCGCCCCGTTCTTCTGGGCGCTTCCTAGGAGAACTCCCTACAGGGTTCAGGCCAGGCCTGCCCTCCCCATGGTCCCTAACAAGGAGGCCTCACGATCCCGCCAAAGATGCCTTCAGAGGCCACCAGGCCTTGACACCCACCGGGCGAGCTGCTACTCCCTTCAGCACTCGGGCCTTCTCCGGGTGATGGACTCTCGGTTTCCTGATGTTCTTTCTCAGCCCCTACTCTCCCCACTCCCATCCTTTCTCTCAGTTTGTACTGCACACGTACTACCTCTCAGAAAAAAAAAAAAAAATTAGCACTCGCTCTGTAATGCACTCACAGCCCCGCCCCTGCCCCCTGTACAGTGCTAATGTACCCTCTGAAGAAAAAAAAAGCATCACTAGACACACCCCTTCCTCCCCCCCTGCCCTCCCTGGCATGCTGTCTCAGGATTGTTTTTGACCTTCTCTCTCCCTTGGCAACCTCCTGGGCAGACCACCACCTCTCGCTCACATGGCTCCCAAATCTCTGTTTCTAGCCCTCTCCTCCCCCAGCCTCTTATTCTCCTTGGGCATTCCCTCCCGTTCACCTGCTGCACCCCCCTCCGCCTTCACCTGCAAGAGTGAACTCAGGGCTCCCCTTCTCCTGTCTCCCAGCCTTGCAAGGTGCCTCTCCCCTGGGGCTCCCTGAGCAAGTCCTGCTTTGCACATTGTGCCTCTAGGATGCCACCCATTTGCCCTTTTCCATCTTCGGCCCCATGCCCAAGTCTAGACCCTCACAGTCCTGCCCCTTCCCCCACTCCCATCCCCACCCCCGCAACTGCTGCCATGGCTTCCTGGCTTCCCTCTCTGTTTCTGTCCAATCCATCTCCCAGGCTGCAGCCAGACTCCCTCTCCCAAAGCACTGCTTAGATCTGTCTCTTCTTCCTTTCACACAAGTTTCTAAACATTCCGTGGCCCCTGTTGCCCAGGGAATACAACCTAACACCCACTGGTCTGGGTGCAAAGGCCTCCACAGTCTTTTCCCCAACCCCCTGGCCCAGGCGTGCCTCCACCTCATGAGCTCTGCGGCTCGGCCATACATGCTGCTCGGCAGACAGACCAGTGCTTCCCGGCCCCATTCCACTCCTGCTGCTTCCTCTTTCAGAATCCCTTTCCCACGTTTGCATGGTTTCAAACTGGGCATCCTTCAAGGCCCACCTCTCTTACCTCCTCCAGTAAGAAACCTTCTTTGTTTTCCCCTCGGGATGCCCCAGCAGAAGTGATCCTCTCTCCTGGGACCTCTCACAGCCCCTTAGACTTTCTGATCTGACAAGTGTAATTTTCTGCTTTGCATCAGAGCGTCTGTAGGGATGCCTCCTTTCTGGAGGGGCAGCCAGCTCCTTTGACTCGTCTTTGTGTTCTCCAGAGGACATCACAGAGTGCTGCTCTGTGGGCATTTGCAAAATAGGTGCTGAGAGAATGCTTGGTGAATGGATGGAAAAACAATACGTGACTGGTGGGTGGGCTAATGGATGGGTGGATGGATGGATGGATGGATGGGTAGATAGATGGATGGATGGACAGATTGATAGATGGATGGGTGGATAGATGAATGGATGTTGGATGGATGGATGGATGGGTAGATAGATGGATGGATGGACAGATTGATAGATGGATGGGTGGATAGATGAATGGATGGTGGATGGATGGGTGGATGGGTGGGTGGGTAGATGGACTGATGGATGAATAAGTGTATGCCTCTAGGATTACATTTATCACTAGTTTAACAATGGCTGTTAATAAAGTAAAGGTTAGAGAGGAGTGAGAGGGAGCTAACAGTTCCTTTAATATGGACCAGAGTTAATTCTTGTCCTCAGACGGTTGGTTGAAAGCATTACAGAGTGAGTGCTAAGAAGGCAGGAAAAGGATGGAACATGGGCACAAATACCTAGCGTGGCTCTGAGGCCAGAGTCTGTCTTGGAGAAGCCTTGGCTCTGGAATCCAAAAAGACTTGAGAAACGTGGCAGATGCACCTGACAGCACTAGGGCGGCACCCTGATGCAGCCATTGCCTGAGGTGTGGCCATTGTCGGCTCTGGACAAGTTCTTAACCACTCTGAGCCGCCGTGTCCTCACGTGCCAGATGGGTCTACCTTATTGGGTTGTTGAGGAAATGAAACCAAATCATCTTTGTAAAGTGCTTATCAAAGTGCCTAGCATGTGCATGCAAACCACAATGGCTATTATGATTGCTGTTTGCTCTCCCTGGGAACAAAGGGAGAGCAGTGCCCCTAGAAGTTAGCAGCCATTTAGTTAGCAAAAACAAAACATGTTCCCATGTCAGGCAACATTTAATCAAGGACAAAGCCATACGGTTGTTGTTTTTTCAAGTCCCACTGGAATTCAGAGACGAGTGGGGACTAGAATAGTAGGGAAGGCCTCCGGGGAGGAGGGTTGAGGACTGAGCTCAAAGGCTGGGTGGGATCTGAAAGACAGAGAGGTGGACGGAGAACAAGGAAAGGGCATGTGCACACACAGGGGAGCGGGGGTGAGGGCTGCTTGTGCAGCAAGCAGGTGGTTTCGGTGGTGGAGGGACAGTGAGCAGAATGGTCTGATACAAAGTAATAGATGATGCGATTGGGAGCACCAATGACTTCAGTCTTTTTTTAATTTTTTTATTTTATTTTATTTATTTTTACATATTTTATTGATTTTTTTTTGCCCCCCTCCTTCCCTCCCATATATCCCCTCCCTCCCCAGAATTTTATGTCCATTGGTTGTACTTATATGCATGTATACAAGTCCTTGGGTTGATTTATTATCTCCCCCAGACCCTCCTCCCCTCCCCGCTGTAATTTGACAATCTGCTTGTTGCTTTACTGTCTCTATATCTATCTTTTGGTTAATGACTTCAGTCTTTCACGACCCATGACCCTCTGTCGCAAAGAATGGCTACAGCAAAACCATTGAAGTCCATTAGCCCTTGTGGAGGGAGAAATAATAATAGCTAACGTGCTGAAACCGATTTGGCTCAGTGGATAGAGCGTCGGCCTGCGGACTGAAGGGTCCCAGGTTCGATTCCAGTCAAGGGCATATACCTTGGTTGCGGGCACATCCCTAGTAGGGGGTATGCAGGAAGTAGCTGGTTGATGTCTCTCTCTCACTGATGTTTCTAACTCTCTATCTCTCTCCCTTCCTCTCTGTAAAAAAATCAATAAAATATATTTTAAAAAATAATAGCTAACACTACATAGAATTTATAGCGCTTTGAGCATTTCACATATTATAATTTACCTGATACTCAGAGCAACCCTATGACATTATCCTCCATTCTATAGACGAGAAATGCGAGGCACAGAGAGGGTAGGTAACTTGCCCAAGGTCACACAGCTTCTAAGTAGCAGAAGTATACTCATCCCCAGGCTCTCTCAGGCCCAGAGTCCCTGCTCTGAACCACTCCAATAGGCTGCCTCTTCCCCGAACCTCTGTAGCCATCCGTTCTCTTCACTCTGGCTTATTGCCTGCAGATAGGCAGGCACTCCCACTGGCACCCTCACCCTGGAAGCTCAGCCAGGCATTCATTGAATGGTTACTGTGAGTCCAGTGCCGGGGTGTGTGTGGGGGGGAGGGGGCTGAAGGATGGGATCATAGCTAAGGGAGTCACTGAAGAAGGAGGAGACTGGGGCTGCAGGGAACTCATATCTATTGCAGAGACAGGGCCTCACTCCCTGGGAACAAAGGGAGAGTAGGGCCCACCCGGTGCCTCTCTGCAGGGAAGCGGCACTTCAGAGGGCAGCCTGGGCTCAGGCATGAGAAGGCTGTGGGCACTGGGATGGGGCCTCAGCCCCAAAGGGGGCTTTCCCCTGCAGGTGAACTTGACTGCTGAGCAGAGACAGTTGCAGGGGGATGTGGGCTGCCTCCACCCTCCTCTCTTCTTCACAGGGGTGGAAACCAGGGCAGAACCCGGGTCCAAGTGGCACCCCCAGCCCAGTGGACCTGACCACTTCACTCCAAGTCATCCTCCCCAGCCAATGACTTCACCCCTGTCCTCTCCTCCCTGCGTGTTCACCCCATAGACATGACTTAGACCCTCTGTGGGCGGCCTTCCTGGGGCAGAGCTGGCTGGCACCGTGGACAGAGGGTGGAGGTGGAGTGGGACGAGGGGCCAGCGCGGAGCCGGGCAAAGGGGCACCGCAGAGACCCAGGCGGGAGAGTCCGAAACTGGCTGCAGCCCCAGGCAGGGCAGGTGTGACGAAGCAAGGATGCAGGGCCGCCCAGGGATGGCTGAGCCCTGGCGTCATTTCCTTTCTAGCCAGAGAACAATGGCTCAAAAAACAAGGGCAGCCAGCCCTCCACTTTCCCGCTCCCGGCCCCGCAGCGCTGGCTTCCCCGGGCTGAGCGAATGGAAAGTCGGGGCCGGCGCCTTCCGCCCTCCTGCTCCCGGAGCCCAGGCCCAGCTGAGATCCGGCCTCCGGCCCGGCTGGCACGTCCTCCCTCCCCTTCCAGGCCCTGCACCCGGCCAACAGCCTGCAGCGCCACCGAGGGATGAGGACGCCACCGCCCAGTGGGACGCCCTTTCTGCCCCCGCGACCCCACGCGCACCGCGCCCAGGAGCCGGGCCGAGCCTGACACCCCGTCGCCTCCCCTCGCGCCCAGGGACCTGCGAGTGACCCGACCACCACCACCTCCCGGTTGCATGGAGCGGCTGCAGAAGGTACACGGGGCTGCAGGGCCTGGGGCTCCGGGTGGGTGTGGCCAGGCTTCCAGCAGAGGGTCAGGTCGGGGTCGATGGTGCCACCTGGTGGTAGCCCGCAGCGCCGCACCCTAGGGCCCCGGAGGCCTAGTATGCCCTCTCTGCCCTGGCCCACCCTTTGGAACGCCCTGGCCCCGGCCCTCGCCCACACTCACATTCCCACGCCCGCCTTCTCGCTCTCCCCAGCAACCACTTACCTCCCCCGGGAGCATCAGCTCCTCCCGAGACTCCAGTGTTCCCGGTTCTCCCTCCAGCATCGTGGTGAGTACCTACCTCTTGGCCACCAGCACCCGCAGGCTGGGAGGGAGACGGGCAGGGACACACTCCCCGCTGTGCCGCCTCCCCCAGCCTCCCTGGTGGTGGCTCTGCCAGAGGGCTGGTGGACAGAGAGAACCCCGATAGCCTGAGACGGTTCCCCCGCTGTCCTTCTCCTGGTCCGGTCCTGTCTTGTACCCAGAGTGCTGGGCGAAGGACTCCCTAAACCCTTCACATTGAATAATGGGACTTGGCGCGGAGCTGACCTCTGAAAAGGCTGGCCGTTGTCTTCCCAATAAGTGGCAAGTGTGGCTTGTCAGGCCGGGGATGCCAGGTGAGCCTTGGAGCATGTCTGTTCCATCCGCACCGTTTCCCTTCAGGCCAAGATGGACAACCAGGTGCTGGGCTACAAAGACTTGGCCGCCCTCCCCAAGGACAAGGCCATCCTGGACATCGAGCGGCCTGACCTCATGATCTACGAGCCCCACTTCACCTATTCTCTCCTGGACCACGTGGAGCTGCCCAGAAGCCGGGAGGTGAGTGGGGGGGGGGGGGGGGAGGGGAAGAACTTGGGGGGAAGGTCTCCCCCAGGCCAAACTGTGGGGAGGGCAGAATCCCTGTCCTGCTTCCTCTCCTGGAGAAACGACTCCAAAACAAGCACGGGGACTGTGCCTAGGACTCATAGTGATAACCAGTGGAGAGCAGGAGAGATGGGCCGGAGGGCTCCATGGAAGAGCAGGGGAGGCTGTGTTTAAACGGCAGGGACCCCAAGGGGTCAGGGAGGAGTGGGGCATTGCAGTGGGGAGTAGGCAGAAAGATAGCAGATTTGTGGAAAGCACCCAGAAGCACTGCCCTCAGAGGCTGAAAGTCCTAGCCGAGTGACCTGGATGACGGTGTGGGCCAGCTTCCCCTCCTGTGAAATGGAGGTGGTACCCTCTGCCCATCCGTCTCACCAGGGAGCCAAGTGCACGAGATAAAAGCACTGATGCCAGGCGCTTTGTCAGTGGTATTTGAGAGAGGGGTAGTGCCGGGGCTGAGCAGTGAGATGGGGCCAGGCTGGAGGGAGACTGAAATACCCGCCAAGAGCCCGGATTCCATCCTCGATGCTTGTGGGTCTGGTGCTGAGGACGGTGCCACAGCCATCCTCCGCTGGCCCTCAGAGCACAGGCCCCTGGTGCTCCCTAGGAGCAGACCTAGGACTCTGCCCAGGAGAGCACTGGGAGGGCGCAGGGAGGGCCAACGCTGGGACAAGGGGGGCGGGGGAGTTGATAGAGAAGAGATGGCCCAGACATCGGCCAGGTAAAGATGTGAAGTGGCCCCTCTGGGGCTCTAGGAACGAGGGTTTAATCCTACCCTGTGGCTCTGACCAGCTCCTCTCCTTCGCAGCGCTCGCTGTCACCCAAATCCACATCCCCCCCTCCGTCCCCAGAGGTGAGTATTGCCAGCCCTGCGCCCACAGGCCCACCTCCGGGCACCCGGACAGGGCTCTGCAGAGCCCAGGGATGCTGGAATCACTGGCCCTCCTTTGTCACCGGCCAGCTCTGTCCATCTGTCTGTCTAGCTTGGGGGCTGTGCGGGTGGGAGACAGAGATGGTGGGGTAAAGGTGAAGCTGCGTCTGTAGGGGTCGGAGGGCTGGGTGGGGGACCCGGGAGCTGCAGCGAACCTCCCTTGTGCTCTGCAGGTGTGGGCGGAGAGCCGGTCCCCTGGAACCATCTCTCAGGCTACAGCCCCAAGGACCACTGGGACGCCCCGAACCAGCCTGCCCCATTTCCACCATCCTGGTAGGTTTCACCGCCAGCCGAGTGGCATCCTTTTCCTAGGACCTCTTTTCTCCTTTAAGAATCCAAGCCCCTGGCTGGGGTATACGCTCCCCACAGAACTGGCCAGACCCCCCTGAAGCCAGAACCCCAGGCACAGCTCCCAAAGATGGTAGACCACGTCTCATCTTCCCTCCCACCCAACCAAAAAAGTGCAAAAAGTCCCAGCCCCCTCGGGGACAGTTCCAGGAACGCTGCTTCTGTCTTGGCTCTTGACAGGAGCCCATGAATGTCCTACCTTCTCCCATTCCCCTTGCCTCCTTTCTCATCCCGGACCCTGCCATCAACCCATCCTCCTTCTCCTCCACTTTGCTCTCTACAGAGACCACCCGCCCAGACTCCAACATCTACAAGAAGCCACCCATCTACAAGCAGAGAGGTGAGGCCCCTGACCACCCTGACCCCCATGCTGGGAGGCTGTGCCAAAGGCTGGGAGGGGACAGGAGAGTATCTGTCCATATCAGCACACAACCGGGTCCTGTGCTTCCTTACGCGTTGTTTTGACACCCACGACCTCACAGGTGTGAAAAGGGGCAGGTGTGGGGCTGGGGTGTGCACAGGCTGACCCTGACCTCCACCTGCAGAGTCCATGGGAGGCAGCCCTCAGAGCAAGCACCAGATTGAGGACCTCATCATCGAGTCATCTAAGTTCCCTGCAGCCCAGCCCCCCGACCCCAACCAGCCAGCCAAGATCGAGACTGACTACTGGCCATGCCCCCCATCACTGGCTGTTGTGGGTAAGAGAAGCTGTTGAGAGGGGGCAGGGAGGCAGGACACTGCCCATAGCCCATGGGGTTGCCCCAGGAGCCCACCCTCACCCCACCCCACCCTGTGTCCTCTGGTGCACCCTGTAGGCTCCTCACTCACCCACTCCTAGAGCTTTTGGTGTCAGCGCCCTATTGGTTAGTCATTTGTCACTTTCCACTCATTTATTGACCACTCAGCAGACATTTGCCACACTTCTACTGCATCCCAGGCTCTGTGGTGGGAACTCTGGGAAAGAGAAAGAGAAATGAGACAAGGTCTTGGTCTCAATGAATTGAAGATATGTGAGTGTGTATTGTCCACCCAGCCTCACGGTCAGGCAATTTTTCTTTTTCTTTTCTTTCTTTCTTTCTTTCTTTTTTTTTTATTAAATATATTTTATTGATTTTTTACAGAGAGGAAGAGAGAGGGATAGAGTTAGAAACATCAATGAGAGAGAATCATCAATCATTTGCCTCTTGCACACCCCCTACTGGGGACGTGCCTGCAACCAAGGTACATGCCCTTGACCGGAATCGAACCCGGGACCTTTCAGTCCCAGGCCAACTTTCTATCCACTGAGCCAAACTGATTTCAGCTATTTTTCTTTTCTTAAAAACAAACAAACACATGTTATATGCAGCACGGTGTGATGCACACAGCCAGCCCCTGATGGACACTTATTGAGCCAATGGTTGGTTGACACGCTGGCTTTCTCCTGTGTTTCCCCAGAAACAGAATGGAGGAAGCGGAAAGCAACCCGGAGAGGCGCAGAGGAGGAGGAGGAGGAAGAAGACGATGACTCCGGGGAGGAGATGAAGGCTCTCAGGGAGCACCAGAGAGAGGAACTCAGTAAGGTAGCATCTCGCTGCCCCCTCTCCCCCTCCTGGGTCTTCCCGGCGACAGACGCCCTGTTTCCAGGGCTGTTCGCTCAATGGGTTGATGCCTGAAGAGCATCCTGGTCAGAGCATGAGGGGCATGCCTCTTCTTTCCCAGCATTGCAGTTGCTGCCCTGACAGGGGCCCCAGGACTCCGTACTGCTTGGGGGGAAACACTGGTTATATGAGCATCAAAGGCCCAGCAAGGTGGTCCCATCAGTGCCAGGCTCAGCGGGCTGAGCAGTTCTGGGGAAGAGGAGAAGGGAGAGAGCTGGTCTCCAGGGGGTGAGAGAGGGTGTTGGGAGTCCTGCAAAGGCCACTGATGTGGCTTGTGCTCTCAGCCTGGTGACCTGGGCTGGGAGGCCACCGGGTAGAGTTACACTGAGCGGCGCTGACTCCTTACTCTCGGGGGTGTCCAAACCCAATGTGGCAGTGCCTCCGACCAGGATGCCCGGCTCCCGGGGTCCCCATTCCTGCCTGCAACATGCCCAACTCTGAGCCTTTTTGGAAATGAGACACAAGTACCAAAGTCTTGGATCCATCCCCTTGGGTCCCCAGGTCACTTCCAACTTGGGAAAGATGATCTTGAAAGAAGAGATGGAAAAGTCATTGCCTATCCGGAGGAAAACCCGCTCCCTGCCCGACCGGACACCCTTCCATGCCTGTGAGTGTCACCAAGGGGGCTCGGCTCGAAGGCCTGGCCACACCCTGAGGCCAGAGCCGAACGGCCTGTGGAGTCTGTCTGTCACGTGCCCGGCACCGTGCTAATGCGGGTATAGGAGACGGAACATTCGGTCACTGGCTCAAGGCGCTCATGCTGTGCATAGGGCAAGAACTCCAGTGGTGGAACAAGACTAGATGATAAAAAATAGTATCAGCTAAAGCAGAATTAGCTAATTTTGCTTAATCAAATAAACATTTACTGAGTGTCTATCATGTGGGAGGCACTGGGGCTTACAAAGAGGGGAAAAACAGAGTCCTGTCCTTCGGTAGCTCCCAATTGCTGGGGAAATGGCCGTGGAAACCGATTTCGGTGCAGTGGAGCAGGTACTTCTGTGATGAGCTGTGCACAGTGACAGGGCCTGTAGTCAGAGGGCCAGGGTGTGCTCACTGAGTCTTGAAGAATGAGACAAATCGAGTGGGGGTTTGACACGGGGGACGGTGGGAGCAAAGGCAGGAACAGGAACTTCCTGGCCAGTGAAGAGGGGGCCTCCAGGAGCCTGGAATCAGTGCCTGAGTGTGCCATGTGGTGGCAGGATTGACACCAGAGAGCCGGGGTAGCCAGCACGTTGGATACCATGCCTCGAATCACCCAGGTTTGGCCTGGACTTCCTTGGCAGAGTTTTTGAAGAATGTGGAGAGGAGAGGGGAGATCTGAGAGCCCAGAACTGGGAGTTACAGGCCTCTGAAAGGCCTCACATAGCCTCGCGTCTGCTGCATTCTATTGGTCAGAGCAGCTCAGACTCCGGAAAGGAGAGATTCCATTTCCAGAGGACAGGAACAGCACTTAGGCGCTGGGAGGTGGTGATGCCACTTTTGGAGACAGCGTACCACACTGCCCAGGACCTGGTAAGGGCTAACATAGACCCCGGGCAGAGAAAAGGGAATGGGCTTGAGAAATATAGAGGAGACTGAAGCGGCTGGACTCAGTGGGGGGAGAGGGGCAGACGAGTTGGGGTTTGGCCTTGGGTGCTGGGTGATGAAAAGCCTAGGACTGAGATCATGAAAGAGGCAGGTTTGGGAGAAAGATGAAGAGACTGGTTTGGGACATATTGGGTTTGAAGTGTGAGTTTGACTGAGTCAGGAGCTTGAGGGGCAAGGCAGGGAGAGTCTTCAGGGTGTACACTGAGTGGCCAGATTATTATGATCTCTGAACACATAATAATCTGGCCACTCAGTGTGTGTGTGTGTGTGTGTGTGTGTGTGTGTGTGTGTGTGTATTACATGTGTGTGTAAGGTCCGGTGCATGAATTTGTGCATGGGTGGGGTCTGGCCAGGTTGGCCAGAGGGAGAGGACATGGGCAGTTGGCCAGCCCGCCTGCTGGTCAAACTCCTGGTCGAGGGGACAATTTGCATATTAGCCTTTTATTATATAGGATATACACTGAGTGGCCAGATTATTATGCGTTCAGAGATCATAATAATCTGGCCACTCCATGTAGGTAGTCGTAAAGCCGTAAGAAAGATGGGATTGTGCAGAGAGGAGAGAGAGCAGAGACGAAGCCAGGTTGTACCATGGAGAGCACACACGTTTAGATCCAGCTGAGTGTTGGTTCGAAGTTAGTCAGGATGTGGGGCTGGCCTCAGGGGCCTCTCTCTCTGAAGGTGGGGCCTTGTTCTGGGAGCAGCCAATTGGAAGTGGAGATTTGGGAAGGTTGGGAACAGCTGCCTCCGGGAAGGGAGCTGCTCCTGGCTCTCCATCCGCAGTGATGACCATCTACCTGGTGTGGTCGTCACCTCCACAGCCTGCAGGCGAGCCGGGGCCCACGGCTGATCCAGGCAGAGTTGGCTGAGGCAGGTCTGTGGGATTCGGGGCCAGGTGAGCTGCCCAGTACTGATGAAAGCAGTTTTGTTCCCAACCACAGGTTGAAGGACAGGGAGTGTGGGTCAGGTCCCCAGAGGTCCCCATGAGGTTGACAAGCGGGTGTTCTGGGAACCAGGCTGAAGGAGGCTGCAAACAAAGACGGGCACCATGGTCACAAAGTGGGGGCCCCGGGCTCCAGGTGCCAGGGTGAAGCAGTGTGGATAGCGAGGCCTGAGGTGACCATTGCAGGGGCTGCCTGTTGTGCAGTAGAGATGAAGGCCCTCGGGTGGGGATGGGGGAGTCAGGAACCCTAAAGGTGTGTCTCCGGCTAGGACATCCACAGGGTCACCGCAAGATCAGGATGATATTTCAGAAGGGGTGGGAAGAGTTTTTAGAGAATGTGGGCTCAATAGTGAAGGCCTGAAGAATGAGACAGAGAAATGCCCTGAAGGTGGAATTCGGTCTCCGTGTTCCACTAGAACTTGCTTTCAGTCCAAATTAGCTCTTTAACTTCCATTTGGCCTTGCAAAGCTGAATAGCCAAATGTCTCCATCATCATCATTTTGGCAACCCGAACTTGTATGTCATCAAAGGCCATAGGACTGCATAGGTTACAGTCACAGCTAATCAACCTTAACAATTTCAAAATTAGAGAGAGCCCTAGCTGATGTGCTCAGTGGTTAGAGCATTGGCCTGTGCACTGAAGGGTCAAGGGCTCGATTCCCAGTCAAGGGCATGTGCCTGCCTGGGTTGCAGGTTAGATGCCCAGCCCTAGTAGGGACTTGTGTGGGGACAACCAATCAATGTGTCTTTCTCACATCAATGTTTTTCCACCCCTTTCTTTCACTATCTCTAAAAATCAACGGGAAAAATATCTTTGGGAGAGGACTAACCAGGAAACATTTAAAATTATGGGTAGGCATGTCATTCTGACTTAATGTTAACATTGAATAGTCACTTTCAAACTCGCCATATCAAAGACCCACACTGCAAAGCTAATGGTATTGCAAAAGAAGATGATTTTATACACAAAAATAAGTACTTAAGTAGTTTTAAAATTAAGTATTAAGGAAGAAAAACAAATAAACAAGGTCTCCAAAACACGTTTTGTTCTCACCAATTAAACTTCCAAGTAACAGACTTTTTAAGAATGTTTTAAGAGGATAGTTCCTTATAGTTTTGAGTCTGTCAGGGCTAAACATTTAAACAAAAAGTCCGGTCAAAATGATTACTATAGAATGCCAACAATTTCTAGTAATTGGAGATGACGGAGTTTTTGAGATCTGCCCAAACTAAAAATCTTAGGCACGAAGATTTCCTAGGAAAACCTGTTACTGAAAACCAGCTTCTTTGCATTATAATCTCAGTGTTTGAAAGCAGGCAGTCCCTGCAATGGTCACCCCGGGCCATATTGTTAAATGTGTAAGTTGAAGGTGACACCTAATCATGCAATCCACGTTTTGGCTGCGGGTGCAATCCAGCAGCTGACAGAGCTGAGGAAAGTGTTGTTTTGGTATTACAGGGTCAAATGTTTGAAACTTCGTTACTAAATTCGCTAACATTAAAATTGTAATGATTTGATTCTTTTCTCAAGATGTCAGATGCATTTTTTTTACCCCAGAGGTTCATTTTACACTGGGGAACTTCAGCATTTCTCACTCGCTAACTCTGATTTTAACTCGAGCATTTGGCCCAAATGAGTCTTTGGTGCCCTTCTGTTAGAGGGAAGGCATTAGAGAGAGTTCAGAGGCACCAGCACGATGCCCTTTGCTGGAGGGGATGGGCAGGAGCTGGAAGCCAACAGAGACCACAGGTCCCCCCAGGTCTACCCTTCACTGCCCTGAGGGATCCTGCTCAAAAGACTGTCAACCTAGAGGGACTGAACAAATCTCTCATTCATTCTCATTCTCATTCTCTCTCTCTCTCTCTCTCTCTCTCTCTCTCTCTCTCTCTCTCTCTCTCCCCCTAGCCTTGCACGGTGGAACATCAAAGTCATCTTCCCTCCCGGCCTACGGCAGGACCACCCTGAGCCGGGTAAGGACCCTGACCACAGGTCCCAGACTGCAAGGGAGGGGTGCATGTGGGGTCCCCTGAGGGACTGAGCTGCTTGGGGAAGGGAAGACCCTTTAAGTGAAGGGACTGATGAGAAACACTCAGCTTCCTTCTGATCCTTTATGTCCTTTCTAGCTGCAATCCACAGACTTCAGCCCGAGCGGGAGTGAGGCCGGAAGCCCAGGTGAGAGGCAGGGTCAGGCAGAAAGGGGTTTGAGCAGGCCCTGAGGCAGCTGGGTCTGGGATCAGGCAGGGCTGTGTGGCTGCAGGTCGGGGAGGCTAAGCTGGCGGTCTGAACAGTTGACTCTTCTCTCCCCAGGCCTGCAGGTGAGTGCCCTCTGGAGGACTCGAGCACAGAAGCCTGGGACAGGCAACTGGCAGTGTTGGGGGAGGGGGTGCTGGGCCACCCAGTTGCCCGGTGAGCACGTGAGGAGCCCCGGGTAAGGCTGGGGAGGTCTCCCGGCCCCACTCTGGCTCACTGCGGCTTTGGTCTCCCCAGAACGGAGAGGGCCAGAGGGGGAGGATGGACCGGGGAAACTCCCTGCCCTGTGTGCTGGAGCAGAAGGTGAGGGGCAGCGGCAGGGCCAGGGGAGGGGGGGGCAGCTTGGGGAGAAGCCAGGAAAGTGAATGCGCTATGGGATCCTCCCGGAGCTGCTGATGGGGACGCTGGGGGCGCTGGATGGCAACATGGCATGAACCCGATGGCCCCCCGCAGGCTGATGAGGGGGCCTGGGGAGGTGAGGGGTGACAGCCACAGGGAACACCATGAGCCTAAGAGCGCCCCCCCCCCCCGGCCCGTCCCCCAGATCTATCCCTACGAAATGCTGGTGGTGACCAATAAGGGGCGAACCAAGTTGCCTCCAGGAGTGGATCGGATGAGGCTGGAGGTACGCAGGGGGTCCAGAGGGCAGCCTCCCCTCCCAGCGGGGAAGACCTGCCCCCTCGGGCACTCCCTAAGTGGCCGGCATGTCCCCTGCAGAGGCACCTGTCGGCAGAGGACTTCTCCAGGGTGTTCGCCATGTCCCCCGAAGAGTTCAGCAAGCTGGCCCTGTGGAAGCGGAACGAGCTCAAGAAGAAGGCCTCGCTCTTCTGACTGCCCCGCACGCCGTGACTGACCCTCACCCCTGCTGCTCTCGGGAGCTGGGTCCCTGGGCCCTAAAGCCTCCTCTCTTGGGGGGCAAGAGAGGTGGGCAGAGGTGGGGCTGCATTCGCTACGTCAGGGGGAGTCCTGCCTTCTCTTCATGCTGGGCTGTGGGACACGGACCTTCTTCCCATCATGAGCCAGGGGCCTCCCCTCCTCCCTCGTCCATCCTCGCTGCACAGGGCAAACCCAGGCTGGCCTCCAGCACTCAGTTAATGTCTGCACCCTCTCCCTGCCCCACCCCACGAAGAGAGGTCCTAGAAGAGGGAGTGAGGAGGCCTGGACGTGGCACGGGGTGCAGGCCTGCTGATGTCTGGGTCAATGAGCGGGTAGAACCCTCGGCCTGCGGAAGAGGTGAGGCAGGAAGCAGCAGGCAGAGCCAAGTCTGCCCAGCACTCCTCCTTGCCTCATCTGGGAGGCTTCCCTGCACCTGTGCCTCCCGCCTCTTGACTCCACAGGAGCAGGGTTGAGCTCAGCCTCCAGCATACCCTTTGCTCTCCTTGCATATCCTATGCTTTGAAGCCTCGTGCTCAGCTCTCTGGCTTTCCCAGAAGCCTTGGCTTAGAGTGGAGATGTTGCCTCTACCGAGCTCCAGGCCCCCAGCAGCCTCCAGGCAAAGTGAGCTAGACTCCTCCCCACCCTCTGACACCAGGGTCCCAGGCAGGACGGGCCTTCGGGCTCCCTCCGATGGGAACAAGAGGCCAGGCCACCAGGTCCCACCCGTACCCATGCATCCCCCATCATGCTCTCTAAAGAATGTAATTTATTGGGGCACCCCCAGCTGCTTTCCTCACCCAACTCTCGGCCCTACCTAACCACATTCCCAGCTTTTCTTCTCTACAAATACATATGTGTATATAATTATATATATATATATATATTTTTTGCCCAGGCCTGGGTTTTGTTCCTGCCCAGACCCTGGCATCCCTTTCCACTGTGTGTATGTGTGAGATGATACTGGGGGAGGGGAACTCTGCTTGGAATTAAAAGGTTGCATTGGGTCCCCAAATTCACTCGTTCTTTGTGAGCCACCAGGTCCAGGTGAGGGGGACGGGGTATGCCAGGCTGAGGGAAGTCATGGGAGTGAAGGTTCAAACGGGGGGCAGATAGGGTTGGAGGAGGTAGAGCGACGACACACACACACACACACACACACACACACACACACACTGTCCTTCCCCACCTGGGCCACCAGAGCAGGGGCTGGTCCAGCAGGCTCCCAGCTGCCACCTCCCCTTGGGGGCTGTGTGATAGTGACGGTGGATGGAAAGGCAGAAACATACTCCAGCACCTGAGATAGGACAGTTCAGCGGGAGGCCAAACACACAGCAAAGGTCAACAGGATGTGACCTGTAGGCAGTGAGCTGACTACCAAGGACCAGGCTGAGGACACTCAGGAATGGAGACACGATGGCTGACCTCTTGCAGGAGCAAGGGTCAAAAGGAGGCAGAGGGAGAAGGGTACAGTCATTTGGTCTTGCAAAGCATTCCAGGGGGAACAGACCGGGAACTGGGCATCAAAGTGGGTGAAGGGGTGAGGACCTGATTGGAAGGTCAGAGGGAGGACTTTGGTGTGGGGACTCGTGGGTGGAGGGGCTGCCTTGGGTGGGCGTGTACAGCAGCGTGCATTCGGTCAGAAGGATGGGGTGAAGTAGAGGGGGTCCCAGTGTGAGCCTAAGACTGCAGCTGGGACCCGAATCCAGTCTCCCACCGCAGCGCTGAACCAAAAGCAAAGTGGGTAAGAATCACTCCAATGTGAACGATGATCTTAAGTTGCTGAAGTTCTGTGATGTCCACAACATTGTGTTATCCTCTCAACAAACCTGTGAGGGCAACAAGTCATTGTAATCCATTTAGTTTAGGAGAAAATTGTGAAATAGAGATATGTCACCTGAAGCCTGAAGCTACATGCAACTGAGTGGAGAATGGGGACAAACATCTGAGTTTCTTGACTGCTAACCGAGGACTTTGCCAATATTGACACTGTCTCTCAAGGAGCAGTGAGAGGCCAGAATAGGTGACACAGAGAGGGGTGGTCTCCACACTCACCCCTCTATGAGGCATCAGTGAACGGGTGGAGGGCTTCCCTGTTCCTGCAGAGGGACAGTGGCGGGGAGGCCAGCACTGCCATGCACACCCAGCTCCCAGACTGTTGAGCAACCAAGCAAGCTGAGGCGGTATTTAACCACAGCTCACTGGGAAATGCTTGTGGTGGGGCTGACTGGATAGTATGCCCTGAAGGATTTTAAGTTCCCGAGATTCAGAGCAACTCGGCGGCTCTGTCCCTAAAACAAAAGCTTAGGGAGAATCTCTCAGTGCCTCCTCCCCAAAAGACACATGTACACACGAATGCACAAACAGATGCAAAACCTTGGTAGTTATTTAGTCCAATAGTTTCCAAACCTTTTTAGTAGCAACCCTTACAAAAAAAATTAATCTTACTACTACTATTTAAAGTACATTTATAAGTTGAATTTTATAGTCAACTAGAAATCTGGTGCACAGATTGGTGCACTGGTGGGGGCCCCCAGCCTGGCCTGCACTCTCTCTGCAATCCAGGACCCTTGGGGGATGTCGGATAGCTGGTTTTGGCCCAATCCAGACAGGAAAGGAGCTCAATCCTATGCAATGAGTGGCTGTCCCCTGGTGGTCAGTGTGCGTCATAGTAACCAGTCGACTAGTCATTCAATTGGCCAATCAGCGGGTCACTTAGGCTTTTATATACCATATTTTCCGGCGTATAAGACGACTTTTTAAATGAAAAAAGTCAACCTAAAATTGGGGGCAAAAGACCAAAATTGCACAAAAATTATCTGCAGATCTTTTTTTTTTTTTTTTTAATATATTTTATTGATTTTTCACAGAGAGGAAGAGAGAGGGACAGAGAGTTAGAAACATCGATGAGAGTCATTGACCAGCTGCCTCTTGCACACCCCCCACTGGGGAAGTGCCCGCAACTAAGGTACATGCCCTTGACCGGAATCGAACCCGGGACCTTTCAGTCTGCAAGCCGACGCTCTATCCTCTGAGCCAAACCGGTGCCGGCATATCTGCAGATCTTGACGGCAAAGTAAGTCTTTTCTTTGAAGTGGGGAGTAGTCTTATACGGCAAATATAGGCCTAAACCTATGTTTTAACTGTAAAATTAGGGGGTCGTCTTATACGCCGGGAAATACAGTATAGACTAGAGGCCCGGTGCATGAATTCATGTACAGGTGGGGTCCAGCCAGCCCACCCCTATGGGGCCAGTTGGGGGGAGGGGTCGTGGGAGGGCTCCAGGGCATGTCCAGCTCATCCTTCTCAGTCTTGATTGGCCAGACCCCAGCAGCAAGCTAGCCTACTCGTTGGAGCATCTGCCTCCTGGTGGTCAGTGAACATCCTAGTGAGCAGTTGAGCAGCCTTAGCATATCATTAGCATATTATGCTTTGATTGGTTGAACAGATGACCCGACAACTAGACACTTAGCATATTAGGCTTTTATTTTATAGTATATGTGCTGCCAAAGCGAGGATGAGGCTTTTATTTTATAGGATTATTATGAAATCAATGAGAATAAAGAAGCTATGATCAATAAAAAGTAAGCTTTGCCCCAGCCAGTTTGGCTCAGTGGATAGAGTGTTGGCTTGGGGATTCAAGGCTCCCGGGTTGAGATAAGAGATCAACCGAAGGACTTGTATACATGCATATAAGTACAACCAATGGACACAAAACTCTGGGGAGGGAGGGTATGTACGGGAGGGTAAGGGCATTGGTATATGTACAAAAATAATAATTTAATAAAAAATATATATTATAAAAAAAATTAAAAATAAATAAAGGCTCCCGGGTTTGATTCTGGTCAAGGGCACATACCTGGGTTATGGGCTCAATTCCCAGTGTGAGGCATGCAGGAGGCAGCCAATCAATGGTTCCCTTCATTGATGTTTCCATCTCTCTCTCCCTCTCTGAAATAAAAAATAAACAAACAAATAAATAAAACAAAAACAAAGTTTCTCAAAAAAAAAGTAAACTTTGATTGCCCTACTGGTGTGATTCAGTGGTTGAACATTGACCTATGAACCCAGAGGTCATGGTTTGATTCCCAGTCAGGGCACATGCCCAGGGTTGTGGGCTCGATCCCCAGTAAGGGGCATGCAGGAGGCAGCTGATTCATGATTTTCTCTCATCATTGATGTTTCCTTCTCTCTCTCCCTCTCCCTTCCTCTCTCAAATCATTTAAAAATACATAACAATCAATTAAAGTTAGCTTTGATGAACATAAAAAATTTAGGTCAGGGGTTATATATGACAGTTGCTCTTTTTTCAAGTAGAGGATCTAATTTATTATTGCATTTGGTTGCACAGTATTGAGAAAATCCTGATTCGCCGAAACCGGTATGTCTCAGTGGATAAAGCATCGACCTGTGGACTGAAGATTCCCAGGTTCGATTCCACTCAAGAGCATGTGGGGGGTGTACAGGAGGCAGCTGATCGATGATTCTCTCTCATCGATGTTTCTAACTTTCTCTCCCTCTCCCTTCCTCTCTGTAAAAAATCAATAAAATATTTTTTTTTAAAGGAAAGAAAATCCTGATTCACATATTTACCATATAAAATGTGGTAGTGTAAAAATGCATGCCAATCCGTTCGCATCCTTCCTGCTGAGCAGCAGCATCTTGCCCCTCTCCTTGGCTCGGGCCTGTGACTTGCCCATTAAAGCTTCTTCTCCTGCCTTCTACCTTTCATTTAAGGCCCAGCGACAGGGAGCATCTGGCACATGGGCCACAAAAGTCAGAGATCATTTGGTCTGGCCCTGCCAAGGCATCAGGGGTGACTTAAATATCTGACCAAATATCGCAGGCAAATTGTTAAGCTGATGCTTTTGAATGGCCTGAGAATACTGTTATAAATACCCTGGTGGCCCTTGGCAGGAAAGAGGTTCCCCACCCTGAAAGCTGACAGGAGGAGAAGTTTTATTCAAGGTCTTCTCCCCAGTGAGCTGACCTCACAGCAGACTTTAAATTCACCAGGGATTCTTAACACGTTTGGCATATAACACACAGAAGGGTGTCCACTAACTTTTGTCAGAACTTTTAAAATAAAATCTAAAAAGTTACCATGCCCTATGAACCAGGAGGCCAGGGTTCGATTCCCAGTCGGGGCATATGCCGGGTTGTGGGCTGTGGGCTCCATCACCAGTGTGGGGTGTGCAGGAGGCAGCCGATTTATGATTCTCTCTCATCATTGATGTTTCTATTTCTCTCTCCCTCTCCTTTCCTCTATCTAAAATCAATAAAAATGTTTTAATAAAAATAAATGAAAAGTTAAGCCAAATAAAAGGCTATGGATTCCTGCTACACTTCCACTATACCCTAGAGTCCCTTGAAACATGTTGAGGGGGGAACAGATTCAATCCATCCAGCTGCTTCCCTTACCCAAGAAGAAATGGGCCCGGAGAACAGTGCTGACTGGACTGAGGGCTCCGACTCCCCAGTTGCTTCTGGATACACAAAACGGGCTGGTTTCTTCCCTTTACACACATTTTGGCCTAAAAGCCTCCTTGTTTCCCATAGGCTCCTTACCAAGGACCAGTCTTCAGATGAACTGTTAGAAAATATCTAACAGTTAGAAAATATCACCCACCCCACCCCCACCCCCAGCTGTAGTACTGAGCTCCAAATACTAGTACTAGGTCAGCCTAGACTTGACCAACCCCGGCCCTCCCCATGTCTCAGGCTGCCCTCCACAGCACACAGCCTGCACTGGGCAGGTCACTGTCTCCTGGGTCTCAGACCCCACGGGAAACGAGACCCCACGGCTCAAGGTCCTACGGTTCTGTGACGGGCCTATTCGGACCTCCCCCTCCCCATCCCAGTTCCTAGTGGGACTCTCCGCGCCTTGCCCCTTAGTCACAGGCTGACAGTGGTCAGCAGAAATATATTTTGAAAAGACATCCATATCCTGTCTTCAGAAAGAACCTCTTTCCATTCCTGGAGCAGTGGAGGGGTGTGTGTGGGGGGGAGGTGGGGGGGCAGTGTAGGGGGGACAGAGGCGGTTTAAACTGGCAGAGTTGGCAGCTAGAAGGCGCATCTTGAAGACCCCAGCTTCGGACGCTCCAGGAACCCCTGCCCTTGCCGAGGGCTCCGGCTGCAATTTCCCTGTGCCCACGGGGAAACCCGCCTTCTGTGTCGTCCCCTGGTGCAGCTCAAAGGTGAAAGGGCCCCCCTGTTACTTCCCGTGGGACCCCTGGCCCAGCGCTGCGCCCACGTAAAGTACAAGCAACAAGTGAAGTTAATGTCAATAGAAACCCGATCAACCTAACGTATCACCCCTCAGCATGCATTCCCCATAAAACCTCACCAGTGAGCATTTTATCCCTTTACTTAGAGGTCAGACCCCCGGGGCATGCCCTGCACACGCGGGAGGGGGGGGGGTCGCGCGTCTGGAGACCCCCGGGACCCCCGGAGCTTCTCTCTCCCCGGAAACAGCTCATCTGCCTCCCCCATCCACCCCGCCTCTGCCTCCCCCACCCCTCCCAGGCCGGCCGCGCGCCCTGCTCCGGGGGGAAGGGTCGCGCTCTCGCGGCCACCGGCTCCCGAGGGCGCCTGCGGGCTGGACCGTGCGCCCCGCGCGGCGCCCCCTTCCCTCCCCCCCACTCGCCCTGGGGGATCGGCTCGCTTCCCACCGCGACAGGCCCGCGGGGACCGGGGCGCCGGCCGGAGCGCCCCCTGCCCAGCCGGGGCGGAGCGGGCCGGGCCCCGCCTCCCTCCCGCCGCGGGGCCGCCCCTGCGCCGGGAGTGCGGCCGCCGAGGAGCCGGAGCCGGAGCCGAGCCGGAGCCGATCCGAGCCGAGCGGGGCCGCCATGCTGAGCCGGCTCGGGGCGCTGCTGCAGGAGGCCGTGGGCGCGGTAGGCCGGGCGGGGGCGCGGGCCGGGGCGGAGCCGGGAGCGGGCGCGGGCCGCCCGGGAGGGACCCCACCGGCCGCGCGGCCCCGCACCGCGCCGCCGCTCCTCTCCGCCGCGCCGCCCCAGACTGCGCCGTCCCGCCTCTGCCTGAGTGCTTCCTGTCTGTCCTCCCTGCCCGGCTCCCTGCCTCCCTTCCCCCCGCTCCCCGGGGCCCGGGGGGACCCCTCAGCCTCTTCCTCCGGGTCCCCAGGTCCCCGCCCCTGCCTCCCCCACCCCTTCCGACACACACGCCTCACTTCCTGCGTGCGCCCTGGGCTTAAAGCCTGCCCTCCCCGCCGCGGGCCCGCCCCGCCGCCCGAGTGCGGAGTGCGGGCCTGCTGGGCCTGGCCCGGGCCGGAGGGCACAGGCAGTCCGGTGGGGGGCCCTGGGCCTCGCCCTGGAGCAGCTTTGGGGGGACCCTGGCCCTGGAGCAGCTTTTGGAGGGCCCTGGCCCCGGAGCAGCCTGCTGCAGGTTCCCAGTGTGTGTCTCACATTGCCCTGGCCTTGAGTCCTTGAGTCCGCGGAAGCCAGCCAGCCTCGGTGGGGCCCGGGCAGCAGCCCTGTGGGAAGGCTGTATTGATGTCTTACATTCCATCAGTGTGTGTTTTTGCTATGTTCTGTTGGGGGTGGAGGCTGGCCAGAGGCAGCCCACTTCGTCAGGAAGATAAAAGTTCAGTTTAGATAGGGAAGGTGGAGGCCCTGTCAACGCTGACCAAGAACCTGTCTGTGAAGTTAACAGTTCTTTGGTCTCCACATAAACCCTCTCCGAAGTGACAAGTTTCGTGTATCAGATTTTATCAGGAGAAACAACCTTGGATTCCACTCCCTTCCTCCTCAATTCAGAGCTTGTTATGAATGAGAAGAGCCTCAGCCTTCAGCAATACTTGGGAAGTGAAAGTTCTTTCCTCACCGGCCCCACCTGCCCCAGCCCGGCCCTCCCAGATGTCCCGGGGCCTGGGAGGGGCTCCATACTGTAATCTCTCCTTCCCCTCCTCCCTGGCCCAGTCCAGACAGCTGTGTCTCCAAAAGTGATCTGACAAACTACTTTTTACCTCTCAAGGACAGCTCTATGGGGAGGGCAGACAGACCAGACCTTTGCCCTAAGAAGTGGATTTCTAAAATTTCAGTGTCAGAGGCTGGATGAAATATTGGTGGTCAAGGGAGATTTTAGGCAGCTGGTCTTCTTCAGCCACACCCTAGAAGTTTAACTGACCCTGTGTGGCCCTCGGGAGAGCTGGGAACCCCCCTTTTGCTTGCACCCCTACATCTTGCACATACTAGTAGGTCTTCCCCTGGCCTGGGTCATCAGGGTAAGACCCCAGCAAGTTGCTTACCTCCTTGGTAAGGAGGGAGCACGCTGCTCTTTCCTGCCCTCTCCTGACAAAAAATAGAGTTACAATCCTTATCTTGAAATAGAAATTTAGAATTTCTATTGGTCTCCAGTTAGAGTAGCTAACAATAGTCTCAGGGATATAGTATCCCCCTGCTTTCTTCTCTCTAATGGTCTGTTTTGGCTAACCTGCATTCTCCTAGTCCTACTTTTATTTTTACTGGATTAGTTAGTTAGCTAGTTAAGCCAGTGCAAGGTTTTCAGAAACGATGAATGAATTTTGGGGTTCAATGAGCCCCCCGTTACAAACTTGTGAAATAATTGTAGTGTTGTTCAAGGGTCAGAAGGCATTCCAAGAGACAAGGAACTATGTACGGAACAGGGTCTTAAAGGACTTGCTGAGCCATTTTTTAAAAAATGTCTTTATTGATTAATTAAGGTATTATATATGTGTCCTTATTCCCCCATTACCTCCCACCTCCCATTCATGCCCCCACGCCCCCTGTTGTCTGTGTCCATTGATTAGGCTTATATGCATGTTGCTGAGCCATTTAGTAAATATTAACGAGTAGCCACTATGTGTGTGCCTGCCCCTGACCCCCAGGATGCTAATGGTCTAGTAGAGAGATGACTGCTAACCCAGCGATAATAGAAGGTGGTGAGATGTGGTCATACACCGTGTGTTTGGGGCGACTGTGGGAGTCGTCACTCAAGTAAGGGCTGTGAATCCCACAACTAATTTTAAAAGAAGACAAGAGTGGGCAGCCGAGGCCTCAGCTTCAGCGTTCCTGCTTCCTCCCCCTGTCGGAATGGTCTTCAGAGCGTTCTTGCCCTCATTTCCTACACACCACGGCCAGGAGGCTCTTCCGAAAACACGGCTCTGACGCTGTCAGGGTCCTGCTCCCGATTGCCTGCAAATGCATACATCTCCGCCTCCTTGGCTTGGCATTCAAGGCTCCAAAACCTCACCAATCTATCCTTGCCCCAGACACAGAGCACCTTCCGCAGGAAACACCTTTCCTTCGTCTCTGATCGTTGAAATCTCACGCAGTTCTTCCAGTTTCGGTTCCTGGTGACCTCAGCCTCCTCTGCTGGCAGCGGCTCCTCTTTCCCCCGAGGTCACGGTCCCACCTTTCCCGTGTTCTCGCCTCGCCCTGCCTTCTGCAGCGCAGTTGCTCGGTGTGGCTTTGTGGTCTCTTCTCCTTGGTGGCCCTGGATCGGGAACATCCTCGTCTTGCCGGTGACATGCAGCATGGTGTTGTGTGTGTAGCAGGAACTGGGAGATACTTCCTGCATCGATGAAGGGAGGAGATAGGGAGTTCTGTGGTGCAGGAAGGCATGAGGTTAGAGGGGATGCATCCAGGGACCCAGATAGGACTTTGTGGAGCCCGCCTTCCGAGGACCGGCCAGGGGGCCGTTAGGATCTGGCTGAGGAGTGGTCTGAGCAAAGATCCAGAGTCGAAATGAGCACCTTTGCAGAGCAACCGCCTGGTTGTGTATTTTTGCCCTGCAAACATTGACTCTGCAAGGAATGAGAAGAATTGCCCTTTGGGGGCAGTTCTTAGGGGAAGTGCTCGTTATTACCATACCAGCCAGACCTGAGAGATGGCGAGAGCACTGGGAAGGGGGAGGTGTAGGGCTTGCTCCCAGGAGAGCAGAGTCCCCCATGGCCCACAGGAAGAGCTGAAGGAGGCGTGGATGGGAGCAGAGCTAGCTGAGGAGGAGGAGCTGGAGGAGGCGTGGATGGGAGCAGAGCTAGCTGAGGAGGAGCTGGAGGAGGTGTGGATGGGAGCAGAGCTAGCTGAGGAGGAGCTGGAGGAGGCGTGGATGGGAGCTAGCTGAGGAAGCGTCAGGGCCGCACGGCCCGAGCTTGGACAGAAGCGGCCCGTACCTTATAAGTAAGGCACTTCCTTAACGTTATGCTACTGTTGCCTGTCTGGCTGAACCGAGCCTGGGTGGTCTTGAACCAGCTTTTCGTAGACCCTCAGATTCAGAGGGACCTGGAAACTTCGTCTTTTGTGTGTGTTCCGGCCGTGCCATTTTGCTTTTGTTGTTTTGGGGGTGCGCACCTGTTCTCCTGTGTGTACCTTTGTTGAAGGAGAGCCCTGTTGTGCTGAAATTATCTGTTTCTCTGATGTGTCCACCAGCCTTCTTAGCTCCTCCGGGCCAAGGACTATGGAACCCTGACCTGTGGCAGGGGCACCGTGATTCCAGCAGGGAGCGGGGGCTGGGAGAGATGCCATGGCATTGTCGGCGACAACTGGGATGTGTCCTGGAGGAAACGTGTTACTATTCCTTTTGAGAACCCACGATCGCAGTGGCTCCCCACGTCCTAGCACTGACCCGGCAGCTGGCAGATGGGGGAATGTCCGTTCCGGGGAGTGAGGGTGGCGGCGGAGCCGTGGTCACACAGGCTACATGTCTGCTCTCTCCGCAGTGGGAGCCCACCATCGACCTTCTGGAGGCGTTTGTGGAGCACTGGAAGGGCATCACGCACTATTACATCGAAAGCACAGGTTGGAGGAACTGGGGGGACAGGATGGGCAGAGGCACCGGGCAGCTCAGAGGTGCAGGGGCCCCGGGGAAGTGACAGCTGTTGCCCGGGAGTTCAGAGTTCAGACGTTTTGCGAGGGAGCTCTGTGAGGTGGGAGTGGGAACAAGGAGGAGGGGGCTCTTGCGGGCCTACCCTGCAAGGCAGAGGTTGAGCTCCACTTGCCCCCATCTTCCAGCCAGGTCATCCAGGCCTTCAGTCTCCAGGTGCCTATGGCCAGGGCTCCCTGATTGAAAAAGCAGTCGAACAGCCCAAGCCACTTTGGCTCAGTGGATAGAGCAGACCGAAGGGTTGCAGGTTCGATTCCAGTCAAGGGCATATACCTCAATCCTGGGCCCTGGTTGGGTCCCCTGTGGGAGGCAACCAAGCAATGTATCTCTCTCACATTGATATTTCTCTCTGTCTCACCCCCTCCCTTCCATGCTCTCTAAAAATCAATGGGGAAATATCCTCAGATAAGGGCTAACAAAAAAGAAATTGAACAAATGTCTCTTTTCCCTCAGCCAACTTGGAGGGGAAGGAGGAGAACAAAAACCAAAGCTTATAAATACCAGGTCCTTCTCCCCACGCTGACACACCAGGGATCCAATGCCTTGGGCACTGGACCCATCAGGCTCGCTCACTGGGAGATGGAATCTGATTGGTTGCTTTGTAGTCGGTGTGTTGGCATTGGTGGATGCACCCCGATTGCCGTGTAACCTGTCCTGCATCCCTAGCTTTCCCCTCCTGGAGTTCAGATTGGGATTCACTTCCAGCTTACTCCATCCTGAAGGCTTTGTTTCCAGCCTGAGCAGCCCAAGAAACTAGAAAGTCGACGTGGACTGTCCAAGGGCCTCTGCAGCCTCTGTTAGAGCAGGTTCCTCAGGCTCCCACTGTGGATGTTTGGAGGGTCACTCTTCATGGTGCGGGCTGTGGGAGTGCACTGCAGTATATTTAGTCCCAACTCTGATCTCTAGCCATGAGAGGCCAGTACCCTCCCTGCTTATGTGTCAACCAAAACTCTCTCCGGAGATGACAAAGGTCCCCTGGGGACAATGCATGCTCCCAGTTGAGAACAACAATTTTAGACTGATCGTCTCTCTTTTTTCATTGAAATATAATTGACATATCTACACTAATAAAAGAGGAAATGCAAATTGACCGTACCTTTGTGACACTCACCAGCCAATCAGGAGTGGGTATGTAAATTAACCCAACAAAGATGGCAGGTTAATTTGCAGACGCCCAGCTGCAGGGGGGTAGGATGCTTGTGTTGTCACCATGGCATGGGCCTCTGGGCAGAGTGGGAAGGCGGCTCTGGGCCAGAGTGAAGACAGTGCTGGCATCCAGGGAAAGGAAGGCCCAATTTTGCACAAATCTTCGTGCATCGGGCCTCTAGTAACATTATATTAGTTTCAGTGGTATAATATATTGATTCCATATATGGGTAGATTGTGAAGTGATTATAGTAAGTCTCATTAATATCCATCACCATGTGTAGTTATAATTTTTTTTTCTTGTGATGAGAAAAATCTTACAACTTAACAACTTTCAATTATACAATACAGTGCTGTTAACTATAGCCACCACTCTGTATATTACACACCTAGGACTGATTTTATAACTGCACGTTTGTACCTTTTAGTTCAAAGAGCCCCAGCTCCCCAGGAGATCAGTACGGGATCCAGAACCAACTCAGAACCATCTGGGCTTTGCCTGGGTCTACCCCATTAATTTCAGAACAGTCCCTATGCCAGAGGTACCGGAGTGGATGAGGCAGCTGCCTTGCTCAAGAGCCTGTGCTTCTACAAAAAGCTAGGGGGTGCTCCAGTGCCAAAGTACGAAAACTTCCTTTTAAAAACCACTCGAGCCTCTGCAGCTCTAAGACTAACCAGCTTCTCCTTCGGGGCCCTCTGTGGTACCGCAGGTTTGAGTTTGAACCCAAGGTCGTGCACAGATTTCTTTTTTCTGCTGTTTTAAAAATATGTTTTTATGATTTTTAGAGAGAGGAATACAGAGATAGAAACATTGATGAAAGAGAAATGTTGATCAGCTGCCTCCTGCACATCCCTCCTGGGGATCAAGCTCGCAATCCGGGCATGTACCCTGACCAGGGATTGAACCAGTGACTTCCTGGTTCATGGGTCGATGCTCAACCACTGAGCAATACTGGCCGGGGATCTTTTTTTCTGCTTTCTTAAAAAGTAGAGTATTGCCTTGTGTGAGTGTAAAAGAGACACATAGGTCCCCGGTTATCTGTTGGGAAGCTGCTAGGAGACAGATTCTGAATTACATGACAGAGTCCCTGGGCCCACAGCTTCTCACTCGGGCCCTCAGCTGCCTGCAGCCCTGGCAACCATCCTCGGCAGCCGCAGGGTTTGGACAAAACTGATGCTCTTCCCTATGATAAAAAGCAGGGCATGCACACATGCTCAGAGTTGTATCCTGGACCTCTTCTAGAAAGTCTTTGTGTGTGTTGTGTGTGTGTGTGTGTGTGTGTGTGTGTGTTATTGATTTCAGAAAGAGGGAGAAGGAAATAGAGAGAAACATCAATTATGAGAGAGAATCATTATCAACTCGAGCATGTGCTCTAAAGGGGAATTGAACTGTGACCTGGTTCATGGATGACGCTTCTGTGTTTTTATTTATTTTTTTTTTAATATCCCATTTCCACTTCGCTTTTTAAAATATATATTTTATTGATTTTTTAGAGAGGAAAGAGAGTTAGAAACATCAATGAAAGAGAAACATCGATCAGCTGCCTCCTGCACACCTCCTACTGGGGATGTGCCCGCAACCAAGGTACATGCCCTTGACCAGAATCGAACCTGGGACCCTTTAGTCTGCAGGCCGATGCTCTATCTACTGAGCCAAACCAGTCAGGGCTTCTTTTGTGTTTTTAAATATGGAGGCATGAACTGTGAACTTCCGCTTCCTCTGGCCTTTATTTGGAGCACTCTCATGCCCTCAGCCAACCCCATCTCCGGGCCCCTTGGATGTGACTCCGTAGAGCCAGAGTGCTCACCTTCTCCCCACTCACCCTCTTTCCTGACCCTGGGGTAGATGAGAGCACCCCGGCCAAGAAGACGGACATCCCCTGGCGGCTGAAGCAGATGCTAGACATCCTGGTGCACGAGGAGAGGCAGCAGGCGGCGGGCGAGGCGGGGCCCTGCCTGGAGTACCTGCTGCAGCACAAGATCCTGGAGACCCTGTGCACGCTGGGCAAGGCCGAGGTACGGCCCGGAATCTCCCGTCCCAGCCCGGCCCTGTGCCAGGCTCTCCCCCGTGCTCCTCCAGCCCCAGGCTCCCCCTCCCACCCCCAGCATCCCCCCACCCCTGTGCTCCTCCAGCCCCAGGCTCTCCCTCTTTGCTCCTCCAGCCCCAGGCTCTCCCTCTTTGCTCCTCCAGCCCCAGGCTCTCCCCCTGTGCTCCTCCAGCCCCAGGCTCTTCCCCTGTGCTCCTCTAGCTGGAGGGACACCGGGCAGGGCCGGCCCAGGACACAACCACCCACTCCCTGCTCACTGCTCGTGGCAGGGAGGTTGAGGAGAGGCTCCCTGTTAGTCAGCCGTCACTCAGCAAGGATGTGCTGAGGACCAGGCGTGTGTGAGGGGACACAGCGGCGGTTAGGACAGAGCCCACCTGTGTGTTCAGAGACGACTAGATTATGGAGAAAAATGCAGTGGGGAGGGGACCGGTTCCACAGTGAGGGAAGGCGGCTTGCAGAGAAGGTGCCCCCCACCTCGGGCAGTGGAGGAGGGCAGTGTTCCGAGGGGCACGGCCCCCCCTCCTGACCGGCCCTCCGCTCTGCCCCCCAGTACCCGCCCGGCATGCGGCAGCAGGTGTTCCAGTTCTTCAGCAAGGTTCTGGCCCAGGTCCAGCACCCGCTCCTGCATTACCTCAACGTCCACAGGCCTGTGCAGGTGAGGGGCTGGGAGGCCAAGGGGTGGTCTGGGGGTGCGGCCCCCTCTCTTCCCTGCCCCGCAATCCCCTCTGTTTCTCTGCTACTCCCTTTCCAGAACCTTCTCCGGCTCGGGGGAGCTCCCGGATCCCTCACGGAAAAGGAGGAGGTGCAGTTCACCACCGTCCTCTGCACCAAGATCCAGCAGGATCCAGCCCTGCTCACCTACATCCTGGAAGTGAGTGTCTGCAGCGGACAGAAGGGGAGGGGCCCAGACCCAACCCCACAGAAGCACTCAGGGCTCCCTGCCGAGCCCCTAACCATTCCCCAGGGGCCCAAACCGGTTTGGCTCAGTGGTAGAGCGTCAGCCTGCGAACTGAAGGGTCCCAGGTTCGATTCCGGTCAAGGGCATGTACCTTGGTTGCGAGCACATCCCCAGTAGGGAGTGTGCAAGAGGCAGCTGGTCGATGTTTCTCTCTCATCGATGTTTCTAGCTCTCTATCCCTCTTCCTTCCTCTCTGTAAAAAAATCAATAAAATATATATATTTTTTTAAAAAACAGTTCCCAAGGGGCAGCGTGGGGAGGGGCCTCCCCCAGGCCCGCCTCACCTAGCCTCCTTTTGCAGGGTAAAAAAACTGTCGCTCAGAAGAACGCCTCCAAAGAGTCCACCGCCCTGCCTGGAGAGACGGCCAGTATCGAGGACAAGGACCACCCCCACAGCAAGGCCCCTGACGGGGGTCCCGGTGGGGCCGGGGCCCTGTCCGCACAGCTGCCTGCTGAGACCCAGGAGCCCGACGAGGGAGTTGGAGAGAACAACCTCATCACCTCCCTGGTCGGCCTGTGCAAGAGCAAGGTGCTGGGCTGGGTGGGCGCTGGGCGGAGCCCGGGGGACTCGGCGCAGGCACAGGCACAGGTCCTGAGGTTGTACCCCTGCCCCCCAGAAAGGCCGTGTGGCTCTGAAGGCCCAGGAGAACCTGCTGCTCCTCGTCAGCGTGGCTCCCCAGGCAGCCGCCACCTACCTGGTGCGGAGCAGCCCTTGCTGCCCTGCGATCGTGAAGCACCTCTGCCAGCTGTACCAGTCCTTGCCCACCTTCCTGGACCCTGCAGACATCGCTGCTCTAGAGGGCATCTCCTGGAGGTAGGCACGTGGCCGGGGAGGCGGGGCTGCATGTGTGGTGGCTGGCAGCCCTGCCTGTCCTCCGGTGGCCGGTTCCCCTTGTTTCTCAGGAGGGATGGGGACCCCTGCTGGCACCTCCTTCCCAAGGTCACAGCCCACCCTGGGGGCCTTCTCACCCACCAGAGAAGCATCACTTTTGCCTCTACCCACAGAACTCCCTAGAGAACTGATCACCCTGCCGGAACCGGTTTGGCTCAGTGGATAGAGCGTCGGCCTGCGGACTGGAAGGTCCCGGGTTCGATTCCGGTCAAGGGCATGTACCTTGGTTGCGGGCACAAACCCAGTGGGGGCTGTGCAGGAGGCAGCTGGTCGATGTTTCTCTCTCATCGATGTTTCTAACTCTCTGTGCCTCTCCCTTCCTCTGTAAAAGATCAATAAAATATATTTAAAAAAACAAAAAAACTGATCACCCTACCCTATGCCCACCTCCCCACCTACAACAGAGGCTCCAGGGCAGGGGGAGAAAGGGCCCGGCTTCCTTCTGGAACAGCTGGGCAGGCCTCACAGCCCCCCTCGCTCTCCCTCCCGCAGGTTACCCAGTGCCCCGTCGGATGAGGGTAGCTTCCCGGGCAAAGAGGCGCTGGCTGCCTTTCTGGGCTGGTTTGATTACTGTGACCACCTCGTCTTGGAGGCACACCCGGTGAGTCACACCGCCCTCATCTCTGCCTCCCGGAGAGCCGCGGGGGCTGCGACCCGGGCAGCGCCCCTCAGCTGCTGTGCGGGATGCCGTGCACGGACAGTTACTTTCGGAGGGAATGTGGGTAAAACGTGCTCTCTGGTGTCCAGGTGGTGGCGGATGCCTTGGCAAAGGCCGTGGCGGAGAAGCTGTTCGTGGAGATTCTGCAGCCGCAGCTCCTACACGTGTAAGTCTGTGTCCAGGCCCCTCAGAGGTGGACAGAGTGTGGATCTAACCGCCTGCCCTGTCCGCCCCTTCCTGTCCCTACAGCCAGGGACCTCCTTAGCCAGCGTCCCATGAGTCTGTGGGCTCATTTGGCCAGGCCTACCCCGACACACACGTGGCTCAGAGCCACCGTGGGCTAGCAGAGGCCTACGCCCTGGGACTCGGTGACCTCAGGAGGGGTGGGAGTGAGCAGAGACACACCAGCTGGAGACGGAAGGAAACCAGGAAGGGTTCCACCGCCCTCCCACTCACCCCCCTCCCTGTCCCTCTGGCCTCCCCTCCCTGCCTGGCTCAGCGTTCTGTCCACATAGGTCCGAGCAGAGCGTCCTGACCTCCACGGCCCTGCTGACGGCCCTGCTGCGTCAGCTCCGCTCCCCTGCGCTGCTCGGGGAGGCCGTGGCCTTCCTCCTGGGCTCGGAGCCGTGGCCGGCGGCCCCCGAGGACAGCCCCCGTTCCCTGTGCGCCCACCTCGTCAGGCACTGCGACCACCTCTCGGATGAGGTGAGCTGGAAGCCTTTGCTCTCCTCGATACTCCCTCCGTCCCCCCACTCCCCCGCCAGAGGGGCTCCCCGAGGCCTCCCATCTCCATCAGTGGTCCAGGTGGCTCTGCCTTGGAGGCGCTGAACCCCTCCCCACCAAAAAGAAACTGTGATGGTAGCCAGCCGGCTCCTGTCGCACCGATGTTGTCTGTGACCACACGCTGGCCAGTCTGCACGCTGCTTCTCTGTTCATGGGACGTTTTGCAGGCTGCTGGCCTCTCGGAGATGGGTGAGACCAGCACTCCGTTTTTCGGTCATCGAAACCGAGGCCCAGAAAAGCCCCTTTTTCTTGCCTGTTATTGCGCATCAAATTAATAATGGAGCCAAGCCGAAACCGGTTTGGCTCAGTGGGTAGAGCGTCAGCCTGCGGACTGAAAGGTCCCAGGTTCGATTCTGGTCAAGGGCATGTACCTTGGTTGTGGGCACATCCCCAGTGGGGGGAGTGCAAGAGGCAGCTGATTGATGATTCTCTCCCATCAGTGTTTCTAACTCTCTATCCCTCTCTCTTCCCCTCTGTAAAAAATCAATAAAATATATTTTTAAATAATAATAATAATAATAATAATAATAATGGAGCCAAGACTAGCCAGACTCCTGATTCCCAGGCCACCACCCATCCCCTCCCCCCAAAACGTGCCGGGGAGTTGGGGGGAATCCCCTTCTAGGGGGACTTTTCTTATTGGATGAGCCGACTCCAGGCGCCCCCGGAAGCCGGGGCAGGAAGGGGCGTCCTGCTGACCCCTTCTTGCCCCAGATCAGCATCGCCACGCTGCGGCTGTTTGAGGAGCTGCTCCAGAAGCCCCACGAGCACATCATCCGCAGCCTCGTCCTGTGCCACCTGGAGGGCCGCCTGTACGCTGCCCGGGGCTCCCAGGAGCCCGAGAGCTACGAGGACGATCTGTGAGTGAGCCCCGGGCCCCGCCCCAGCCCTCGGCACCCCGCGCTCTGTCTTTGGTTGGCTCCTCGGCGCCACGCACGTGTACCCCGGCCACAGAGACCTCGAGGAGGACCCCTACTTCACAGACGGCCCCCTGGACGCCGGCTTCCAGCCCTCTGCCAGGCCCCGCCCGGCCCCCGCCACCAGCTCGGACGGCAAAACGGCGGTGACCGAGATCGTCAACAGGTAGGGGCAGGTCGGGAAGTCGGAGCCACGTGGGTTGGCTCTGTCTTTGGCCACGACTCTGAGGGGTGCAGCCCGGAGCTGGCTGAGCGTGGCACCGGGGGGGGGGGGGGGGGGGGGCGCCCCCTCACACACACCGAGGGTCCTTGTCTCTCAGCTTCCTCTGCCTGGTTCCTGAGGAAGCCAAGACCTCCGCCTTCCTGGAGGAGACGGGATACGACACCTACGTCCACGATGCTTACACACTGGTGAGCGCTGAGGCCTCCGCCAGGGCCTACGCCTCGCCCCTCAGAGGCTCCTCCCTCTGTGGGCTCCGCCAGCCCCTCCCCCCCCCCCCCCAGCTCCAGCCACGAGCCCCGAGTCCACCTTCCCGTGTGGCCCACTGTGTGCCGGGGCCCCCTGACCCCGGGCCTCCTCTCAGCTCTCCCTCCCGCGCCAGTTCCAGGAGTGCAGCTCCCGAGTCGGTCCCTGGGGCTGGCCCCTGGCCCTCACGCCGCTGGACCCCCACGAGCCAGAGCGGCCCTTCTTCGAGGGGCACTTCCTCCGGATGCTGTTGGACCGCATGTCCCGGATTTTGGAACAGGTAGCCAGCAGGGCCGGGCCCCAGCCGGAGGGCAGGGCCCACGGTGGCCCCCCAGGTGGGTGCCTCTGGAGTCCTTCGGAGGAGCAAGGGGTCGAGTCGTCTTCCGTTCTTCAGCTCCACGGCCCCCTCTGCCCCCACCTTTCCCCAGGCGGGAAGCCCCGTCTCGCCTCTGCCCCACACGCCCTAACATGTCCCGGCCCTCCGCCCCGGGGATCCATGACACACACACATCATGTGAGCCTGTGAGCCTCCCACCCCCGCACACGCTCACACTGGCCAGGCGCCTTTCTGGGGGAGTGCAGAAATGCTCGCCACCAACCCCCTGATGGCCCCGGGTTTGCCCACCATGTTCCCTGCAGCCTTACAGCCTGAACCTGCAAGTGACCTCAGTCCTGTCCCGGCTCGCCCTCTTCCCCCACCCGCTTATCCACGAGTACCTCCTGGACCCCTACATCAGCCTGGCCCCCGGCTGCAGGAGCCTGTTCTCTGTGCTCGTCCGGGTAAGGGTGCCAGGGAGAGTGTCTGTGGTGGGCAGGGAGGGAGGGGACGGGGCAGGGGCTTGGGAGCTGCAGAGGTGGGGACCCCGGTCAGTGCCAGGGGGAGAGCACGGGTACTGACCACCCTGCCGTCTGCCACAGGGCAGCAGGGCCATGGGACCTCGCTTGAGTGTCACTGGCCCCCACCTCGGTCCTCTTGTTCCTCCCTAGGTGATTGGGGACTTGATGCAGAGAATTCAGAGGGTGCCCCAGTTCCCAGGCAAACTGCTCCTGGTGCGCAAGCAGCTGATGGGTCATATTCCTGGGGAGCAGTAAGTAACTGAGAGAAGTGGGTGCCTGGGGCAGAGCCCTGGGTGGGAGGGCAGGTGCTTGGGGTGGGGGGGAAGGAGGGCGCACGGGTCTCAGTCCTTAGCGCAGAGGGCCCACTGCTGAGCTCTGTTCTCATTCGGATCTGCCACTGGGTTATTTAGGCCTTAGAGACCCTGGGAGGTCACATGGGGGGCACATACCCGCGACCTTCCAGCCATGACTCTGTGCTCTCCCCTCAGGCTAGACCACCAGACCCTCCTCCAGGGCGTGGTGGTGCTGGAGGAATTCTGCAAGGAGCTGGCTGCCATTGCTTTCGTCAAGTTCCCCCCACAGGGTCCTCACCTGCACCTCCCCCCACCCCCGGAAGGACACGTCTGAGCCGGGAGCATGATGGGAGGGGAGACTCCTGTTCTCACCTCTGCCCCGAGCTGCCTCCCCTCCCGCCTGGCACAGCCGCCGCCACCCTTCGCCCGGGGCAGGGGCCTGGCTGTCTCCTCTGTGTCCGGCCGGGGGCCTCTGCCTCTGTGGAGGCCTGGGCTTCGGCTCCCAGGTCACCTCAAGGAGACCTTGCCTCGTTGGCTACACCAGGCTGGGCTTCAGGAAGTGGGTCTCCCAGGCACCAGAGCCCAGGAACAAGAGGCAGCCTCCCGGGCGGCACAGTGTCTCCTCGGGGGAGCTGGGTGACGGCCAGGGGAGTGTCGGAACCCAGACGCTCCTGAGTTCTGTGCCCGTCACCTGCCTCTACAGGCCATGTGTGGCCGAGGCCAAGACCTGTGATTCAGTCCCGTGGGCACAAGGGGTGTGAGCTGAGGGCCAGTCAGGACTGTAGGTCTGACAGACGAGAGCAAGGGTGCCCAGACTCTGTCGCACTAGGTACCATAGATTCTGCTAAGACTTGACATTTTTTTTTATCTCCTGCCTTCTTGACTGAACCCTGGTGGAAGGGGCAGCGGCTGGCAGGGGTAGCCCCCTCCTCTGGCCTGGCCCTCCCGGAGACTAGTTGCAAAATCCCCAACCGCCTCGTGGCAAGAGGCCAAAGCATGCTCCGCGCCCAGGCGGGGGCAGCCGCTAATGAGAACCTTGATGCAACTCCGCCAGGGCGGGAGAGGGCCCGGGGAGCCGGGGGCCGGTGCCAGGCTCCGGCTCCAGCTGGTTTCTCTGGCGCCTTCTGAACCCGTCTCGGCAGGTCCACCGCACCTGGGCAGAGGGGCTGGAGCCTGGGGGAGGCCGGGCCCGGCCCACGGCGTTCTCGATGGAATGCCCTCCCAGGGGAGTGAGGGAGCTCAGGGTACAGATGAGACCAGGATGCCCACCTGCCTGCAGGCCCCTAGGCCTGGCAGGGAGGGGCAGGGGCCCCGGTATTCTCCCTGCGTGCCCTCGGAGGCTGGGGCCGCCACCCCTCCCGGCCCGAATCTGTCTCGACCTGCAGGAACACACAGGCGGCGCCAGGCATTACCTCACAGCAGGACTGCAGTCGCTGGCTTCGCTCCTGGGCAAGGAGGAGCAGGCCAGAGCCCCTTTTGCTTCCTTTTCCTGCCCATGCCGCTTCTGGAAGCCAGCCGCGGGTTGCCAGGAGGTGACATGAAAGAGGAGGAAACTCGGTGACCTCTACCTCTCCCACATTCCTCCCGGCTGGGGAGGACTGACCTGCTGTGCCGAAGGACACCGGGCATGTGCGTGCCTGCGCTGTGCACACGGGCGTGGGCGTGGGTGTGGGATGGGAGCGAGCTCGGTGGGCAGACTGGGTCTGGACTCTGTGAAAATGTCACAAGCACACCCCTCTTCAATGCACTGTGGCATCCTCACCGTGTGCCCCCGGCCACCACGGCAATAAATGGTGTGGTTGCGTGGACACAGCTGCCCCGTTCTCCTCCGCCCTTCGCGTCTTTTCTGCCCAGGGCTCCGCTGCTAATTTGGGCCCATCTTCCTCCCCAAGGAAGACAAATTAAGTTCCTTTTTGAGCGCCGGAGTGGAGGGGTTGGCGGTAAACAGACAGGCTCTGGCAGGGCAACCCTGACGTTCCTCGGCGCCTGCCAGGAACAGCGGCTCTTGGCCAGGCAACACTATTTCTGCCCGGTTTGCCCACAACTGAGGGCTGGCCAGCCCCAGAGACACCCTGGGGGAGCGGGCCATCTGCAGCATCTGCGTGCAAGCCTCACGTGGGGTGCTCAGGTTGTCAGCTGTATGGCTGCTTTTGTGAAAAGCAGGCCTGCTGCTTTAAAAAGCGTGTCCCTGAGCGTGGAGCCTCTGAGGGAGTCACCGAGAGGGCTGGCCAGTGGTTCTCGCCTTTTTAAAACGCCAGTGCCCCAGCCTGACCCTCCGTGAGATACATCGGTGGGTTGTTTTTAAAGTTCTCCAGGTGATTCGAATGGGCACCCACAGTTGGGAACTGCCATAGGCTAAATAGTGGGCGCAGATACCATGGCCCTTTGCCATGGAGATGGACTGGGGGGGGGGGGGTGGTCCCTCAGACACGGGGAGAAGTGAGCCAGAGGGAACGGGTTCTGCTCCACCTCAGGAGATATGTATCCCCGGATGGACAGAGGACTCTTACCACAGACAGCCCCACAGGCCAGAAAGGAAGACAAGATGTGGCCAGGAGAGACAGGCAGCAGCTGGGGGGGGGGGGGGTCCCTCAGTCCTTCATTCAGGGCCAGAGGGTGGTGACGTCAGCAGGGAAGCCCAACCAAGCGTTTCCCAGCTCGGAATTGGAGATCTAGACTTCAGATGCAGTGAGGAGCACACAGTGTATTTTCTTTTTCGTTCCTTTTAGTTTTCCTTTACATTTTAGTCAAGTCCTTTTCTTTAAACAATTTCTACAATGATTCGGTTGGGCTAAGGGGAAATGAGAGGATTCGGGTTTGGTTTGGGCTGAAGTTATAAAAAAGGCAGAGGCAAGAGCCAGGCGCCCAGCAGCAGAGCAACTGGGGAGGGATCAGCCCAAGAAGGAAATCCAGGCCCGGGCAGCTCTCGACTCCTCGCCTACCCAAAGCTTCCCTGGCAATCTCACTGCTCAAGACTTGGAGGGGATGTGGTCACATCCCACCTGGCAGGCAAGACGAAGAGGCCCTCAGTGGGCCTGAGTCAGGCCGAGGTGGACAGCAGGAAGCCTGCCTGCTCCCTGCTCCCAGCTCCCAGGCCGGCCCCTGCCCTGGCAGCCTGCGGTCTGGCAAGGCCTCGGTGGGACAAGGGGAGGAGCTTCTCCTCTGAGGGCAGTGCCCCCTTCCTGCTCACTTCCTCCCCACAGACACATTTAGGCAGGAAGGCAAAGTAAGCAACCTGTTTACTCAGCAAAGGTCACAGTCCTTAGAGTGACCTCCCCCTGCACCCCCTCCATATTCTAAGCGCCCGAGAACCTGGTGTAGAAGAGACGATGCTGTCTGGGGTTCAGATGGTTCCCATATCCCCTTAGGGAGCGGTGCCCTCATTGTTCCTCCCGGAAACCGAGTCCTCGAGCTCTGGACTCCTTGCTTGGTTAAAGGCACTGTCCCTTCCGGTGCCATGTAGGGGCCTGCTCGTGTAAGGAGAGATGGAAGCCCCCCTGAGAAGCAGGAGACCTATCCTGCTCCCAATACAACGGGATCCCTGATTGCCAGCCTCCTGCCTCCCCGAGAGGGAGGCGAAACCACGGTGGAGGGAGCACAGACGGCAGCTCCGTGTCTACTCATGGCACCTTTCTATCCGTTGACTGGGACAACAGATGATTCCTGAAGCCTCTGGAAGAGCTGGCTTTGCAGGTCTTCCTCCACCACCTTCCTCCAAACAAAGTTCTCACCCCGAACCTCGGGGGGCTCGTTGTGGATCCCTGGGTGCCGAAAAGCCACGGTCACCAGCACGTTCAGGCAGATGCCGTCCGTGTGGCCTCTGCCCAGGTGCTGCAGCCCAAGCAGCCCCTTGGTCTCCACGGCCAAGTGGTGCAGAGTCAGACAGTCCTGCAGCAGCCGCAAGATGGCCATGTTGAGGCCACCCCTCTGCTCCATCGGGGTGAAGCCACAGGCCGTGATGGGCAAGTGAGGCGCCCCCACCGTGCCTACCAACACCCACACGGTCTGGGTGGCCACACTGGTAAAGGTGGCCACGAGCCGCTGGCAAACCAGGCTGCAGGGAAGCTCCTGGGGCAGAATGCGAGGGTGCCTGGCCCGGTGGCGGTACTGGGCAGCCAGTTCAACCAGGGGCAGGATGTCCTGGGCTCGAAGAGGAGTGGCCAGGGAGGTCCGTGGGTACCAGCACGCCTGCAGGGACTCTGCGTCTGCCTCCTTGGAAGTCTTGAGAACTCCACCTGTGCGGAGGGGAGGGGAAAGGGCCTGTGCTGAGAGAAGTGCGAGGCCTGGCAAAGCCAACAGCTGCTGAGGCGCTCTAACCTCGACTCTGAGGCCGGAGAACCTGGAGATGCCAGGCTTGTAGCAGGCGGAAGAGGGGCTGCTCTCACCTGAGGACGAGCAGGCGGAAAGCTACTCACTGCCCCTTGCCCACGCTGCCACCAGGTGTGCCGTACCAGTACCTGTGGGCTGAGCCAGGAACGCGAAGCGGATCCAGGCGGGGCCCCGCTCCTCCACACACAGCAGTGTCAGAGGCTCACAGAGCAGCCCGGCCTCCTCCTTCACCTCCCGCTGCAGGGCCTCCAGGATGGTCTCCCCAGGCTCCATTCTCCCCGCGGGCAGGTACCACGCCCCATGGCACTCTTTCTTGGCCTCCTGGATCATGAGCACCTCATCCTGAGGGGGAGAGAGAAAGCCCTCACCCTCACACCGCCAGGCTGGGATTGCCAGAGGAGGGGCACAGCCAGCAGCCTTCCCTTGCCCTGGGGCCAGATCATATCTTTTTTTTTTTTTTTAATATATTTTATTGACTTTTCACAGAGAGGAAGGGAGAGATACAGAGAGCTAGAAACATCGATGAGAGAGAAACCGATCAGCTGCCTCCTGCACACCCACCACTGGAGATGTGCCCACAACCAAGGTACATGCCCTTGACCGGAATCGAACCTGGGACCCTTCAGTCCGCAGGCTGATGCTCTACACACTGAGCCAAACTGGTTTCAGCCAGATCATATCTTAAATGTGTCCTTACTAGAGGTCACACTCAAACCATTGAGCTTTCCTAGGCAATGGCCCTTGAGTGGCTGCCAGCGGCAGCTGTCTCTCTCTCTGCAATTTACCCTTTTGCATTCGGACTTCCGTTGCAGAAAGGGGCTGAGATTCCCGGGAACTGCTTCAGGGGCTGGGGTTCAGACCCCACAGTGGGGGTTGCCATGTGTCCTGCACTGTCTGCATATGTTCCTGTCTCCCTCCCCTCCCCTCTTGGTTTGCAAACTGCTGTGGCCTGTCCTCACACGGAAGTCGAGGCTTTGAAACATGTCCCCACCGACACCCCCCTATAACTCCTACCTATGGCCTTAGCCCCTTCTAGCTGTCGTCACGGGAATTTGTACTAGATCAGCACTAAAAAGAGCATCCCACAGGAGCGAGGTCTGAATGCAAGCACAGGTTGTGCCGTTATGCCGGTGGGACCCGGGAGAGGTCTCTGCAGCAGTGAACAATCTTAGAGCCCTCTCCGCCAGCCTGTGCTAGCTACCTTGTGGGAAAAGGAAGAGGAATGAGACAGCGCTCCCCTTTAGGCACTGAGGCCTAGTGGGGTGAGACAGACACGTTCCTGGGCTCGGTTTTCTCCCCTGTGCGTCTGACAATCTGACAATCATCGCAGGGTTCAGAGTTCGGCGCACAAGGTTCAGGTGTCAGAATGACAGTGCTTTGCAACACGGGGAAGCGCCACCCACAAACAAGCGCTGGCTCCTGCCGGTAGGTCCTCGGTCCCCACGGGGCTGGCTGCGCGCTCCGGCCCAGCTGCGGACCCGGGGGCCGGCGGGCGGGCGGACGCTCACCTGCTCGTTGAGGAACACGGCCAGCACCACGTAGCAGACGTTCCTCCGCAGCCGCGCGGGCGCCCGCAGCTCCCCGGCGGGCTCCGAGTCCCAGCTCTGCACCCGCAGCCCCTGCCCCGCCAGCACGGCTTCCAGCTCCCCCGCCAGGCCTTCCGAGGCCATGGGGTCCTCCGGGAGGCGGCGGCGGCGGCCCGCAGACCCGCTAGGCCCGGTGCAGAGCGACCAGGGGGGGTGACGCGGGGAGCGCCCGCGGAGCGCGCCCGCGGGGCGTGGCCTGGGCCTCGGTCCCCTCCCCCTCGGGCTCGCGCCGGGGGCTCACGGACCAACGTGGAAGCGCCGGCCGAGCCGCGGCCGCTGATAGGCTGCGCTTCCCCGCGGCTGGCCCGGATTGGCTGACCCGCTTCTGTCATCGCGGAGGCGGGGCCAGTCCGGGCGCTGCGGACGGCACCCGGTTGGGGCGTCTCTGCCCGTCCCTCCTCGCCCTCTCCGGGCGCCTCTGGCCGCCGGCCTCGCCAGCATCTCCGGCGCTCACAGGTCCGCACCGGCTCTGATGGTTGCGTCATCCTGCCTGTGGGTGCGGAGCGCTGCTGTAGCCAGCGACGGTGACGTCACAAGCAGAATGACGTCACGGAGGTCTGGGGCCGTGGGTGTAATGTATTGTCCAGCTTTTTGGTCATAAACATTGCCCAAATGGTCACCAGCATTGCCCAAATGATCACTTCCTAAATAACCTCTTCTTTTTTTTTTTTCACCAAAAATGTAACAGGGAACATGTGCTCCTGCCTTGGAGGAGATTCTGATCTAGTTGGGAAGGTAAATGTAGACACATAATAAAAAGTCAACTCAGGATTATAAGCCAAGTGCTAAATGGCTGGTTTGAGCTGGAGGTGTGGCAGCGCTCAGAGGAGGGAGGGAGCAGGGCCAGGATGCTCAAGGTGTGGCTGGCAGTGGGAGAAGGGGGATTCGGGGCAGAGAAAGGTCCTGGGATCTGTATCCCAACCCCCTGCCTGGCATCTCCTATTGTTTCAGCACCCTCTACCCTGCAGACCGGGAGCCCTAGGCCAGCAGGGGCCAGTTTCTGCTCCTCCATCTCTGCTGCCCGCACCCCCAGCTGGCTTGGCCTGCCGTTCTGAGAGCAGGGTGTGGATTTTGGCGAGCTCCCGCTTCTCTCCCAGCCTGACCTTTCTTCCTCAGAGCTTCCTTTAACCACCTCTCAGGACAGGAAGGCAGGGCCAGCCGGAGCGAAACTATGAAGCCAGCCAAATCTGGGATCCTCAGTTAGGCCTCCCCTTTCCCTCCTGCTGCCTTTGTGCACCTCCATTTGTGTGTGTGTTGGGCGTGGGGGTGGGGGTGGGTGGGAGGGGTGTCAGTCACTTGCTGGAACAGACAAGGCATTGGACTTGGGCCAGATGCCAGATGCCCGACCTCTGCCCACTGGCTGGCTGCGTCCCTGGATAAGTTGTGAGCATCAGTGTCCCCAACTGCGGGTTGGCTCACAGCTCTTCCTTCACAGGGTTCTTGGGAAGGTGAGATGTCCATGGTTGTTTTCCAAGCAGCCCACCAACTGCCCCCACCCCCGGCCGGACCCCCCTGGCCACAGCACTTGTTGCTACAACACAAAGGCCCACTTTCATGAAGAGTGCCTCCAGGGCCACCACGGAACCAGGCTCAGCCACACCAGGTCTACCTCCTGAGGCCCTTCTCACACATGAGCTGTGAGATCCCTGGAGGCAGGGTGCTGTGTTAGGCTGTGGGCCCACAATCTTTGGAGGCACTTGGCGATGCTGCTGCTCCCAGCCCCAGACCTGTTGCCCCCCAAATAGCTGAACTCACCAGCCTCAGAGGCCCCTAGAGCTGCAGAACCACCTGTTAACATAGTGTGTGTGTGTGTGTGTGTGTGTGTGTGTGTGTGTGTGTGTACCCCAGTTTTCCCATCTGTGAAGTGGGGACAGCATTTGTCTCAGACTCCTTTCTGCCTCCCGGGGATGATTTGAGAGAGAATGAGGTCATGTCTGGGCAGGGCTGTGAGAGCCGCAGAGGCAGCCTAAGATAAATACCAGGCGGCCTGACGGGCCCGAAGAGCAAAGACTTCAACCAACCACGGCTCCACTCCCCCCATTATCGCTGGGAAAAGTGCTCCGCTCCTCTGAAGTGGCCCTAATCACCGCTGCGGTGAGGAGCACGGGAGGCAACCATGGACGCTGCTTATAAACTGCGAAGGGCAGCCCTGGCGAAGCCCTGGGAGCCGAGGGAGACAACAGGAGGCAGGCTTTCTCGGGCTTTGGGAGGAAGGGAGCATACCCCAGACTGAGGCAGGAGGGGCCCCGAGACACCTGAGCAAACTGAGGGATGGGGGGCTGAGACAGAAACCTGCAGGACCAGACACAAAGAAAGGTCTCCCTCAAGGCTTCTGCTCTGTGCCCTCCATTTCCAGAGGGAAGATGGCTGGCAGGTGGGGTGGCCATGCAGCGGGGTGGCCAAGAGGGTCCACACCACACAATGCCCACAGGAGGGAAGCCTGAGCCAGCCATTCCAGGGCCCAGGGACTCACTTACATGTGTGAGCAGGAGGGCAGCAGGGTAGTGTAGGCAACCTCAGAAACTGATGGGAGGGCATGGGCTGGCAGGGTGGGGCAAGGGTGTCTGTCACACCGGAGTTGGCTACAGAGCAGCAAACCCCGGCCCTTGTCAAAGTGGGAAGGGCAAGGAGGGCAGGAGCCCAGGGTCAGGGAGGAGATCTGGCTTCAGCCTGGACGATGCCACTAGCTAGCTTGCTGTGATCTTGGGGAAAGCCACCTCTACCGTCTAAGTCATTGGTAAGACAGAGGCAGAAGTGAATCCTGAAACAGAATGGACATGAAGGGAAGACTAGTGTATCTCAATCAAGCCTGTTGCACAGTTAATAGTGTTGTATGGAAACCAATATCTTAGTTTGTTTTGTGTTTTTTAAAAATATATTTGATTTTCCACAGAGAGGAAGGGAGAGGGTTAGAGAGCTAGAAATGTCAATGAGAGAATCATTGACCAGCTGCCTCCTGCACACCCCCCACCGGGGATGTGCCCACAACCAAGGTACGTGCCCTTGACTGGAATCGAACCAGGGACCCTTCGGTCCGCAGGCTGACGCTCTATTCCTTGAGCCAAACCGGTTTCTGTCCAATGTCTTAGTTTTGATCACTGTGCCATGATAATGTACCATGTTAATATGAGAGGAAGCTGGTTGAAGGAGAACTGGGAATGGTCTGTGCTATTTTTGTGACTCGGTTGTGAATCTACAATCGTTTAAAAACTAAGAATCTAGAAAATGTACTTCATCAGAAAAAAGGAAAGAGGCAGCATGAAGTCTGCATCCCTGAGGTCACTTCCGGCCCTGAGGCTGTGCCTCGCTGTCAGGGCCAGCGAGAGGCTGGGGGTGACGGTGGACAGTGTGGTTGCTGGGAAAAGCAGAGGCCTAAAGGGCAGGGCTGGGCTGGGCGGGGGACAAGCTAAGCCTCCATAAGGAAGAGGGTCACCAAGAGCCTCAAGTCTCAAGGCCAGTCCCCACTTGAACTGGCTTCATCCCCCGTCCAGTCCTGGGACATGTGGTCCACCTGCTGTTTGCATGGAGTCAGACCTGATATTCCCCGGAGGGCACTGTGACCATGGGCCCAGAGGTATGTGGGGAAGAAAGAGGCCCCTGGCAGAGCCATCCCCCTCTGCTCAGAAGAAGGACCCTGTGTTTAGTGTTCTGGGGTGACATCAGGACAAGGCTACATAAGGCGAAGTGTAGGTAGGGATGGGTCACTCGGTGCCACTTGGAACAGGATCAGCTATAAAGAGCATGTATTGGAAGGAGGACAGAGCAGACAGCAGAGCCATCTGCAAAGGCCATTAAGCCCCAAGTAAATGAGGCAGCTGGAGTCAGGACACTTGGTTCAAATCCCAATTCTGCCACTAAAATTGCAGCGTGACCTTGGGTGACTCATGTACCCCCCAGCCTGCCTGTTTCCTCTTCTGAAGGATAAAAACAAGTAGCATCTACCTCAAAACCATGATACGGGAGATCACTTAAATGAAAATAGTGGCACCGTAAAGTGTAGGAGTCTCTTAATTTTTTGTTTGTTTGTTTTTCTATCACATGAAAATGATCTAGCTTTGCAGACAATGGGGAAACCTTTTTTTTTTTTTTCTTTTTTTTTTTTTTTATGAAGGATGGCTATGTGAGTCATGGCAAAGCCACTTAAGGGAATATAAGCAATCATTAAGAATGAAGGTTAGGTGGCAACCCAGAAAATGATCACCAGAGTGTTTGTTAAAAGAGAGAAACTGAGTAAAAAGCATACCAATCCAACTGCATGTAAAACAGATCCTTTAAACAAAAAAATACTAAGAGGAGATATACCCAGATACTACCTGTGTTTGGGTGGAGAGTGAGTGGAGGCGGAATTACAGGTGGCATGTCTTATTTCCTACATGTTCTGAAAGTGTATGAAATTTATAATAAAAAAAAATATTTTATTTAAAAAAAACCACACATTTCCCGAACCACCGCAGAACAATCAGGTATGACGAGTGGGGGCATGCTGGGCGGAGCTGTGCTAGGGCAGGGGAACAGGCAGAGCCACACCAGAGAGCCCTGGGGATGGGGAGGGGCTGCCAACCAGCTCGGGCAGCAGGCCAGGCCCTGGCCAGGGCCGCACTCCCGGAGTGTGCCACTCTGCTGGGCCACGCTCGCGGAGCTTCAGTCAGATCGGACAGAAGAGATGGGGTAGCCTGGACTTTTCGGGGAGGGCTGGAGTCAAAGCCACCTTGTGCTGTGCCCCGGGGCTCTGCCTTGCTGTTGTCACTGTCGGGAGCATCCTCAGGGGTAGCCCCCGGGAAGGCTCCATCTGCTCCTCCGTGGGAGAGAGGGACCCAGGTCCGGGGAAGAAGAGCAGGCAAGGGTGCTTGAGGCCCCTGTCAGGGACAGCCCAGCTCCTGCCCACCGGGTTCCATTTCCATGTCTCCCCACCCTCCCCAATCCATGTGGCCAGCAGGAGCAGGGCCAACCACACTGGCCTGGTGGCTTTCAGAAAACAACAGACTTTAATGGAAAACAGGAAGGAGGGAGGCGAGAGGAGGGAGCGGGGACAGGGCCTCACCCCTATCATTCCCTTTGGCCAAGCCTCGGGGGGTGTCCTGAGGCCACCCCCTCCCCACACCTCCCAGCTCTCCCTCGAACAAGAGGGCAGGATTTCAGTGGCCCCTTGTCCAGATGCCTGCAATGCATGGGCGCCCGGAGTCCCGTGAGGAGGTGGGTGGTATAACAGAGCTTGGCACAGGGCGGGTAGCAGGAGATGAGGGAGCAAAAGGTGTTGCTTAAGCCAGAGTGATTCCCAAAGTCCCCCAAGGAAAGGCTGTTTGTCTCCTGGGTTGGGGGGTGGGGGTTGAAGGGTGTCAGGCACCCCCAGTGTGGGCCTGATACCATGGAGGGGGCATAGGGCGGAGCAGGTGCCAGCCTGCGAAGGGCAGGGGTGAACCTCAGTGGCACTGTGGTTGTTGGCTTTAGGGCCCAGGTTAGAAGCGGGAAACAGAGTATCCTGCTCGTACCCAGAGCGGTGCTTGTGGAAGTAACCAAAGGTCCCCAAGCTCCCAGCGTCGTCTCTGCTTATGCTGTGCCTGAGCTGAACTCCTGTTCTAACTGCCCCCCAGACTCCCGGGACCCCTCTATTTGGCCTCCTGTAATGTTCCCACAGCCAACTTCACTGCTTGGAACACAGCCCAGTCCACCTAGGAGGAAACGAGAGGACACGGAGTTCACAATTGTATTCGTGGGCTCTCCCCACCAAGAACTCCCTCGCTGGCCCCGGCTAGCTGCTTGCCGGGCACAGGGCTGTGTCTGCTATGCCACCCCAGCTGGGCGACAGGAGGACTTGGGAAGCACAGCCAGCTTCCTGGCCAGCGTCATCCTCACCTGGGCACAAAGCAGGCGGCAGTCAGGGGACAGGCTGGATCCCTGGTGGCAGAGCTGAGCAGAGAGGGCAGAGGTCTCAGGGGACATGAAGTGCTGAGTGACGCTCACTGTGCTTACCAGGCCCTGCACCTGTGCCAGGAAGGAGGCGAACAGGAAGGTCAGACTCATGCTGCCCACCTTGGTCCTGAGCTCTGCTTCCCATAATGGCCCCGCCCAGCGCTCACAGACCGGAGGCTCTGGATCCAGCTCCAGCATCCCCAAGGGCATGGCCAAAACCAGGCCAAGGGGATGCCAGAGATGGCACAGGCAGAGCCAGCACCCACGGACCCAAAGCCCCGTTCAAGGGTGCCACAGTGGGAGCGTGCTTCCTGCTCAGCCCAGGTCCCCGGGTCTGGAGAGGGATGAGGCCATACCAGGCGGGGGATGCAGCATCGCTGTGCTGCTGTTCTTGCTGTTTCTGGCATTCTGAGCTCTCAGCAGAGCCCCGGCCCCCGGGGACCCACCTGGTGGGGAGCCCCCGCGGGGACCAGCACGGCCTCGCCAGGGGCCTGCAGCAGGGTCCAGCAGCTCACACCCCACTCCTCCCGCAGGCGCCGCCGGAGCCCTGCGTCCAGGTAGCAGCTGCCCGGGGAGCCAGGTTCCAGGTTGCCAGCCCCCGCAGGACACACCTACGAAGAGAAAGGGCAATGAGCGAGGGCGGGAGGCAAGGGCAGGCTGTCGAAGGCCGGGGCACAGACTTCCCAAGGGCCTGGGCATTGGAAAGAGCTGAGTGCTCAAGTCATTCATATATATATATATATATATATATATATATATATATATAATTTTCATTGATTTCAGAGAGGAAGGGAGACAGAGATAGAAACATCAATGATGAGAATCACTGATCAGCTGCTTCCTGCATCCCCCCCTCCCCCAACCCCACCCCCGAAACCGAGCTCACAACCCAGGCATGTGCCCTGGCCAGAATCCAACCCAGGACCCCTCAGTCCGCAAGCGGACGTTCTATCCACTGAGCCAAACCAACCAGGGCTGAGTTGTTCAAGTCTTTTTTTTTTTTTTTTTAATATATTTTGTTTATTTTTTACAGAGAGGAAGAGAGAGGGATAGAGTTAGAAACATCAGTGAGAGAGAATCATTGATCAGCTACCTCTTGCGCACCCCCAAATGGGGATGTGCCTGCAACCAAGGTACATGCCCTTGACCGGAATCGAACCTGAGACCTTTCAGTCCACAGGCCGACGCTCTATCTACTGAGCCAAACCGACCAGGGCTGAGTATTCAAGTCTTGAAGGGCAAGCAGACAGGACACAGGAGGGAGAGAAAGGGGCTGGATGGTGAGGGGCTGCAGCCACTAAGGTTGGCAGATTGGAGATTTGGCTGAAAGGAGCTTAGAGGAAAGGATTAAGGGCCCTGAGGTGAGGGGGGTCTAAATCCCTGCTTTCCCTGAAGCCAGATGCGGTGAGGAGCCTGTGTCCCTGGCCCTGGGCCCTCTCCTCCCTCACTCAAACATCCCCCTCCCTCCAAACCCAGGAAGACACCTTAAATATCCCAACTCATGAACTTGCTGTACCAGCAGCTCTTAACCTGGATCCCAGCAAACATCGGAATTGTGTGCTAAATTGTAGGTGATTAGGTGTTCCTGGAGAGAAAATCCAAATTCGTCTATGATCCCAGATGCAGAAGTAGCAAGTTCCGATGCCCAGTGGATGGGCAGGCTGGCCCGTCCAGGCCAAGGCCTCTGAAGCAAGCACAGCCATGGGGACGGACGGCTTTGCCAGCCAAAGCCGAGCAGGGAGCTCCTTGGGCAGACAGGGACTGGCAGAGGCCAGAGAAGATGCCAGGGAATGCCTACAGAGGCTGACACCAGCATCGTGCCCCAGCTGGCCACCAGCAGAACCCACCCCTTCAGCTAGACCCTCAGCAATGGTCTCTGGGCTTAGGGCTCCAAGGCTGAGCCACGGGAAGGGGAGACGTGAAGCCAGGTTGGACCCTAGGGTAGCTCCAGGCAGGAGCCAAGGCTCCTTTGACCCCGCCCCCCCAGTTCAAGTTCATCCTGTGACTAGGTCAGTGCTTCGCAGGCCACCCAGTGAGACTACACCCCTCAGACTCCCCATGAGTCATTGGATTTGGCCATATGGAACTGGCCACAACCGGCCACACCCATACCAGGTGAGGCCATGTGGGTAATGAAGGGATGCTTCTGTCTGCTCCCCTCTGCAGATGTGTTCCAGCATCTGTGTGTGCATCTGCAGATCTACATGTGCCTGTCTACATGTCTGCAGGTGTGCATGCCTGTGGGCAGGAGGGTGGTGTGGGCAGCCGTGTCGACATCTGCATGTGTGCGTGTGAGCATACGCCTCAGCAGGGGTGACACTTGGTGGACATCTTTTCCCCGGAACAATCCGAGCTCAGCCAGACTTTGAACCTGGACCTGCCCTAACCTCAACGCGGGCCCCAGCCGCTGGGCCTTCCTGCCTCCTGTTCCCCTTCCCTTACCCTGCCCCTCAGTGTGGTCCAGCCTCTCCCGCCACCTGCCACGTGGCCTCCTTCAGCCCTTACTTGCTAGCACCTCAAGGAGCACCCCCTCGTGAGAGGTAGATGACTTAAGGGAGATTAGCAGAGGGGCATCTCAGACGGGCTCCCCTTTGCCTGTGTAGGGGAGGCCCCAGGAAGAGCACAGGGGAGTGACCTGGGATGGGAACAGCTGTAAGCTCGGGCCCCAGCTCCACCACTCAGCCTCAGTTTCCCTCATCTGCAAAATGGGAAAGCAGCATGTGTGTATGAAAGAGGGGAGTGACCATGAACTGAGATAACGGACCAAGGCCTCAATACAGTGACTAGCCGGCAGCAACTCCGAGTCCATTTCACCACCTCAACCCCTTGCTGTGCACCCACCGCATGACTCCCACCAGGTCCCAGTCCGCCCTCTCTGCACATGCGTGTGAGTTGAGGCTCACCTGAGGGGTTGGGGGTGGGGAGCACACCGATAACACGGACAGGGAGGGCTCCTGGGGTGGGAGCAGAGGGGCTGCATCGGGGAAGGGAAGGGTCCTGGCTCCCTCCTCACCATCTGGAGAAAGCGGCGGATGCGTTGAGCGTCCTGTGCCCGGAACACGTGCCACACAGCGCTGACCTGGCTGCCAGGAGACCAGAGCCCCTCCCCGTCCAGGCCTGAGAGGAAGTCTGAGGGAGAAAGACAGCTCAGGAGGGCCCAGGGCAGGCAGACACCGCACCTCGCATCCGCAGCTTGTCCCCACCCTGCTTCTCCCCGAGGGCCCACCTTTCTGTGCCCGATGCCAGGCAGGCAGCGAGGCTTCTGCACGCACCAGGATGCTGACCAGGTCAGTCACCTCCACACAGAGGTTCTTGGTCCCCAGGTGCCCACGGTGCGGGCTCACACCTGCACAGAGGTGGAGAAAGGAATGTTGGGAAAGACAGTTGGGAAAAGGTCTCAGAACCTTGGCACAGACGTACAGGCACAGGGATGATAGGAATGGGGGCAGGGACTGGGCAGGAGGGCAGAGCACACTCACCATAGGCTGCCCACAGCTGGGGCTCCAGTGGACACAGGGCAGGGCCCGGCGGGAGGTAGGAAGCCAGGTTGAGTTTCCCTTGGGGGGCACAGTACTCCGGGAGGGGCAGGCTGGCAGCCAGGTTCTCCAGCCTGTAGGCGAGGAGTCACGCCCAGCAGGCTCAACCCAGACACCAGAGACCCCGTCAAAGCCCTCCACTACAGGGGTAATTCCCAGGGGCAAGCAGGGTGTGCCAAGGGTCACAGGTGGACGTCAGGAGGAGAGGAGGGAGGGCAGGGGGGTGAGGGAGGGCCAGTCCTCGGTCCCATACACACCTGCTTGTGTCCTCAGCCCGCAGAGCTCTGTGCAGCAGGAGGATGGAGCCCTCAGATGACTTTGGGCGAACTAGGGAGGAACAGAAAGGCCATTGCCCAGGGGCCCTGTCCCCAGAGCAGCAACACAGTCCTGTTTCTGCCCTGGGCCCTGCTTCCAGCTGCCCCCAGGGTCACTCTGGGCCTCCGCTGCCCCCTGGCTCTGGCTGGCTCCCAGTACCCTCTCCCCCACACCAAAGACACTTACTCTCAGGCCGGGAGAATCCATCCCAGAAGGCCGCAGGGCCCAGGTTTGTGGGCTGGGGAGGCCCGAGGTGGGTCAGCGCCTGCACCTGGCCTCCGAGCACCTCCAGAGCCTCGGTCCCCCACAGGCTGCCTTGCAATGTCCTCTGAATCCCTGACACCAACACAGGCTGTAGTGGAGGGGACGGGGACACGGGGAGAAAGATGGGCTGCCCGACATGCTCAGGCTGGGGGGGTGGGGGTGTTGTAGAGACAGACCGCCAGAACAGCGTGGGGGCCAGCCCCAGCTGCTCGCTCTGAGTGACGGGCCGGGCCCAGGGCCCAGGGCCCAGGGCCCCGAGGGAAGGCGAGGCTGTGGGAGCGGCCGTGGGGTGGTGAGAGCCTCACCTGGCCCTGCCGCCAGTGCTCCTGGAAGAGGCGGAAGGCTCGCCGAGACCTGGGCTCCTGCAGCCACAGCAGAGCTCCCGGCGGAGGCAGCCGCGGCCGCACCGGGGAGAGGGGCAGGCCCAGACCCTTGCGCAGGCCGGGCCCGGCCCGCAGCCCAGGCCCCAGGGCTTTCTCCTGGATCTTCCGCTCCACCACCTGCGCGATGATGCTGTCCAGGATGTTGGTGATTCGGTCATCCTACGGGGGCACGGGGTGGCAGAGAGCAGAGGGACTCAGGACCTGCCGAGCCTGCAGGGGGGGCCAGCCCCATGTCTGCCCCCGGCGTCTCCCCACCCCCCTCATGCCCTTACTCACACTGGGCAGGGCTGGAGTGACAGGGGCAAAGGCCATGTGTATCCGCTCGTGCCCCAAGCAGAGTTTGACGGCGGTGGAGGCCAGCAGTTCACAGAGAGAGGGGCAAGGCAGGGGGCCCCGGCTGGCACGGTCCTCGGCAGGGGTCTCTGTGGAGTCCAGGGTCTCTGTTGAGGAGAAAACCAATGAAGGCTTCCTCTTCCTCTCAAGGCTCCGTTGCCCACATGCTCCTCCTCATCCCGGGGCCGAGCCCACGCTCTCCTCGCTGGCTTGCCCCTCGCTCTGGATGCACTCGCCTCCCACCCCCCAGCTCCCCTGCTGGCAGCTCCAGACCCTCTCCTAAGGAGGGCTCGGAAGGGGCTCTGGCTAGAAAGAGATTAGGAGGCTTGTCCCAGATTTTGTGTAGATTTACTTTCTCTGGAGTGACTTGAGAAGAGTGACAGCGATTGGGGGAGGTGGTGGCTGAAGCCATTCCAATCTCTCCAGAGACATCCCGTCCCCCGCCCCCCACCGCCTGGCATGCCCACCCCAGTCTGAACGAGGGCCAGGGGCTGCTCACCCGCTTTGATGTCCTTGGTCCTGTTGGTGTCCTCCTTGCAGGAAGGTTGTGGGATTGGGGTGTTTTTCTCTCTCGGCTCCTTCTGTTAAACCCAGTCCAAACAGAGATTTTAGAATGGCAAAGGCAACTCAATCCAACTCAACCCACAAGCATTCACAACAGACTCCTGCAGGTCCTAAAATCATGTTTACAAGTAGCAAAAGGTTATATGGCGCTGGGTGGGGAAAAGTTGCTCACGGTGCAGCACAATGTCAAGTACTCTGGAACAGACTCAAATAAGCAAAGGGGCAAGTTACTGATGTCAAACTGGTCGTGGTGGCATTACAGACCACTGTCATTTTCTTCCCTGTACCTGTCCGTATTTTCCAAATTTTCCACCACGGGTATGGAGTATGGAGTATGACATGCAAAAGGCATTCCACAAACTACTTCTTGAATGCATAACTTTTATTTTAAAAAAAAAAACACACCACCTCTCAAGTTTCATAAAAGCTTTGCAAAATGCCTATCTAGCACCTGCTCTGTGATAGGTGCAGGGAATACTGAGATGAGCCAATGTCCCCTGGCAGGCGTCTGTGCCGGGATGTGGACAGACATGACAGGAAAGCACGCCCCTCTGGCATGATGTGGCAAGTGCTGAGCTGGAGCACGCACAGCGTGGATAGGAGCTCTGGCTGCACACAGTGAGGCTTCTGCTGGGCAGGGCATGGGGGGCAGGGGTGGGACAGATGCCAGCACTGGCTCCATGGATCCACATCCCCAAGGGAGGATGGGAAGCAGCCTGACGTCCCTCTTCATTCCCATCAAAAGAGAGGGGCCAGACCCCGCCAAGGTCCACAATGTGCAGTCGCATAGTCGCATGCGCCATCTTGGGGCCCACTGGCTAGCACGCTGTTGCCGTGCCGTGCCTCTCACCTGCTGGCCCCCATCCCCAGGGGCCCACACCTGGGCATCAGCTTGGCAGGGACAGTGCTCCCGGATATCAAACTTGATCCAGACCTGGTGCATCGCGGCGCTCAGCTCTGCCAAAGCTGGAGGGGGGCGGGGAGATGGGAGTTGGGTGGTGAGTGCAGACAAGAGGCAGCCCTGTGCTGCTTGACCTCACCAGCCAGGAGGGCACGGCATCCAAACAGGAAGCTGCTCTCTCCCAGGACCCGCCCCCTGTGTGCCTCCACCCCTCCACCATGACTCACCCTGGCTGGAAACAAACTGGGTGAGCATCAGGGAAGAGGCGCTGTGCCCAGCCTCCTGGGCACACTCCTCCGTGGGCTGCTCCGGAGAGCCTGTGGGGTGGAAAGGGAGAAGCTGCAGGTCAGAAAACGAAGGCACGCACAGGTTAAGGTCAGGGAAGAAGGGTAGGAGGACCGATATCTAAGCAACCCATAAAGAATGGGCTTAATCAATGAAAGAGAAACACCACGTGATCTCACTCATTTGTGGATGATAAAGAACATTATAAACTGATGAACCAAGAGACAGATATAGAGACAGTAAAGCAACAGGCAGACTGTCAATTTACAGTGGGGAGGGGAGGAAGATCTGGGGGAGATAATAGATCAACCGAAGGACTTATGTACATGCATATAAGTACAACCAATGGACATAAAACTCTGAGGAGGGAGGGTATGTATGAAAGGGAGGGAGGGGGGCAAAAAAAATCAATAAAATATATTTAAAAAAATAAAAAAATAAAAAAAAAGAATGGGCTTTCTGGGATGCTCGGGTTCGGCTGTGACGGTACGAGCCTTTGCCTTTGGAACACAGACCCTCTAATATGCTGATGGGAGTTGCCAAACTCCATAATGACTGCGCAGAATAGAGTGTTCTGAACGTGTCTACCCTGGAACTCTTTCTGGCCATGTCTGTGAGCACGCTGGGCAATTTTAAGCCCTCCTGTGGCCGAGCGGAGCCCAGGAGAGGAAAGCTTGCCGAGAATAGTGAAAAGAACTGGACTTGGAATCAGAAGCGGAGTCTAAATCCTGGCCCCAGCCCTGACCGGTTTGGCTCAGTGGATAGAGTGTCGGCCTGCGGACTGAAAGGTCCCGGGTTTGATTCCGGTCAAGGGCATATACCTTGGTTGCAGGCACATCCCAAGTGGGAGTTGTGCAGGAGGCAGCTGATCGATGTTTCTAACTCTATCCCTCTCTCTCCTCTCAGTAAAAAAAATCAATAAAATATATTTTTAAAAATAATAAATAAATAAATAAATAAATAAATCCGGGCCCAACACTTAGTAGCTGTGTGCCTTGGATGAGTCATTTAACATCTGTGAGGTTTTTCTAATCTGGAATATAGAGGCAAAAACACCCACCTCGCAGTGTTGTAAGGTTTAAAAAGGAGCAAACTGACAAAATGGAAGGCACAGAGGAGGCCCCCGACTCTGTTTAAGGGGGGGAAGGACGCAGGCATGGCCCTCAGGTCTGGGGAGAGGTCTGCTCTCTGGGGCACTGGGCAGCGGTGGCTGATGCTGGGGCCTGGGAGGGCGGCTTTCTTGGAGAGAGGCAGCCAAGAAATGGCCACAAACCTTAGAGCAGGCCGTCCGAGGCCCCAGTCCCTGTCCTCCCAGGCTCCTTTCCTACCTGCTTTCTCCCTGGCCCTGCCAGCACCCGCCATGCGACCACAGGCCACACACAGCCGGTGGCTGCAGCGGGGGCATCTCCAGTGGGTGTTGAAGAGTCCATGGTGGCAGCGGCTGCAGCAACCTGGAATGCCTGGGTCGTCCTCTGTCCTGGCCGGCCCCTGGCCTGCTGACCACGGAAGAGAATAGGGTCAGAGTGGGCTCGCGCCCAGGCCCCTTTGGGCGTCCTCCTGTGGCAGACCTGCCTGGAGGAGAAGCAGGAACAGTTTCCACCAAGGAGCTGCCCCGGAAGGGAAACAGGCCCCTCCCAAATGCCCCCACTTACTTGACAGCCCTGGACAGAACCTCCCCGAAGCCCATTGTCTCCAGAAGCCCTCCCAGAGATGGTGCAGGCCCCTCTCCCCAGTTCCTGCCCCACGGATTTCCCCCTTGGCCCTGAATTACCAACCCACACCACTTCCAACACATTCCTTCACCCACCCCCCTCCCTCCCTCCCTCCCAAGTTGGCTTTCTTCAGGGCACTCAGCGTCGAGGAGAAAAGTTTAAGAGGCCTTGCGTTCCCTCACCCAGAGTTTCAGACTACCCTGTTTCCCCGAAAATAAGACCGTGTCTTATATTAATTTTTTCTCCCAAAGTTGCGCCAGATCTTATTTTCAGGGGATGTCTTATCTTTCCATGCGCTAGGTCTTATTTTCGGAGGGTGTCTTATTTTCGGGGAAACACAGTAGCTCTCACTGATAGGTGCAAGGACGCCAGTGAGCAAATGTTCATTTATTCACTCAACAAACACCTTGTCCCGACCGGGGCTAGGGACTGGGATTTAGAGCGAGTCAGCCCTTGGCTCTTGCCCTCCCAGTGCCCACCTTCCAGGGGGAGATGGACCCATAAATGTGGCGACGATGGAGGGTGGGGCTGATGGGGGCAGGCTCATAAATGGGTGATGAGTAAGTTTTCATTCACCAGGTGGGAGGGGAGGAGAAGGAGCAGAAAGTGCCAGGGCCAGGAGGGGTGGACGAGCCCAGGGGAGCTGGGGAGCCGGGAAGGTGAATTGGGGTGCTGGGAATGCGGGTTCAGGGAGTGGCAGGGGCTGATGAAAGGGGATAGGGGCTGGGCCTTCTGGGACAAGAGGGAGCCGCCATGAAATGATGCAGGAGGAAGAGCCTGGAGCCAGGGGGACTGCACAGCCTCAGACACTAGCCCAAGTCCTCCCAGCCTCCGAGGGCCTGGGAGCCTCACCACCCAGAGAGCCTTCCTCATGCGCCACCCGCAGGGAGCTCCCCGCCTTCGGGTGCCCTTACAGACACTTGGCACCCAGTCTTGTTTCCCCAACAAGCCTGGCGCTCTCAGACAGTGGGCTGGACCAGGTTTTGTACCTTCCCGACATCCGCCTCCCAGGTCAGAAACCAGAAAACACGGTGACTAAGAGCCTTAGCCGGGAATAAGGGCAAAGCAGGGCGGGTGTCCTCCCGAATGGGAGGACCGGGCAGTGCCTGTGGGAAGGAGGGGCCCACACTCCCCGTGCTCCTTGTGAAAGCACCAGGCTCTCTGGGTTCCCCAATGCCCTGGGGGCGCCGCTCACCTTCCCGTTGGGCCCAGGCCAGGGCCTCCCGCTCTCTCCGCAGCAGGCGGCACAGCCGGTCCCCCAAACCACTCAGGAGGTGTTTGGCGAGGCCCACGCTGGGCCCGGCCTTGGGGCCGGAGCCTCCTCCCTCCTCGGAGCTGGCTGCCGAGTCTTCCTCCTGCTGCTCCCCTCCCAGAGAGGATCTGGAGACAGGGCAGAGGGAGGTGAGGAGGGAACCCCACGTGGGAGGACGTGGGGACATTCGGGGGCCAGGGCTCACCTGGGCGCTTGCTGGGAGTGGCAGGCCAGCCCTCCCGCCTCTCTCGCTGCCTGGGCACAGCTCTGGCACTGCGCGATGCCTGCCCGGGGAGCTGAGCAAGGTGCATCCTGACGCCCTGGGTCCTGCAGGCTGGCCCTGCCGTCTCGGGGTCCTGAGAGGACAATGCAGCTGGTCAGGGGTCTGGGCCTCCCAGGCCCTGCCTTAGCCCCCCAGCTGTCCACATGCAGAACCAGCCGGGTCTTTAGGCCAGCCCCCCGAGGCCTGACTTGGAACCAGTGAGAGGGGACCAGGCAGCTCAAAGCTTCACAAAAAAAAGTCCACGAGAGGAGCCTGACGATGCCCTGACATGACTGACGGAACTGAGAGGAAGGTCAGGTGCGCTGAGCCCCAGGCCGGGGCAGCTCGGGTGATGATCCCGACCCAAGTTCAAGATGCAGCCAGTGTAGACTTTGGATTGCTCCACGGTGAGCTTAGCGATGCCGCTGGCAGCGTGACAGCGTGAGAAGACAATCCATCCCAACGTGGAGGAACGGAGGGTGCCGGAAGGTGAGAAGGCCAGGGCGTTTCAACACAGACCACAGGTGCAGTAACCCAAGAAGGCTAAGAGGTCAAAGGCTTCCCAGCCCGGGCGCAGGCCTGCGAGAGTGTGGACAGACCCGCGCCAGGTGCAGGGTGCTCGGGCACGGCCATTGAGAGAGTCTGCAGCCAGGCCCAGCGGCAGTTCAGGGGGCCAAGCGCCCGAGGCGATCCCGGAGAACGGAGGCGGGGCTGGCAGTGCCCGAGCTTTCCTCCGTGAAGGGCAGAGCGTGACACAGGGGTCTGGGATGTGCCCAGGGCACCAACACGGCCAGAGTCCAAACGAAGCTTCCGTGGTCCAGCTGGCCAGGGGAGTTGTTTGTTCCGGAGGCAGGACAAGGGGTCCCTCGGGAGAAGGGGACTGTGGCACAGACCGGCACGAAGGCGCACATTTATTGGGTGCTAAGTGCCAGGAGTTCTTCCAAGCCTTCTCTGTGAATTCTATCACGTAACCTTCGCAGGAGCCTTGATGGGGTGGGTGCCCTCTTCGCCCCCATTTTGTAAATGAAGGAACGGAGGCGCGGAGAGGTGAAGCGGCCAGCGCACGGCCATGCAGCCACCAGTCAGCCAAGTCAGGACCCAGGCTCTCTGACTCCAGAGCCCAAGCTCGCACCGTGTCATTACCCTGCCACCAACACACCAGGGCTTTGGGAGGAGGCGGACAGAAATAGAAGCCACTTGCTTGAAGGTCCCGGGCCTGGAGATGCAGAGGCACTCCCAACAGATGCTGGTCCGACCCACTCGTAAAGGACCTCTGACCCCACCGCCTTGCAAAGCTTGGGGCTTGCTGCCCCCTCCGCCCCAAGCAGGGCCCACGCAGCCCCTCCTCTGCCCCTTACCTCTGCGGTCAGCGTGCTGTTCTGCCTCCGCCTTGTTCTCCGGGGACGAGTCCAGGACGTCCTGCCCTGCGCCCGGGAAAGGGTCAGGGGGGCGCTTGGCGGCTGGGCTGCCGGCCACTCCCTGGACCTCAGGGCTACTTGCCCTCTTGAGGGCCTGAAGCGGGGCGACTGCTGGGCTCTCCTCCTCCCCCCCGGGGCAGCCCCCCGGGCACCCAAACTGCTCAGAGTGTCTCGTGAGCCATGTCTTCTTCAGCTTGGTGTGGTGGTTGGGCGGGCAGGCCCTGGGACCGGATGCCTTGCTTGCTTCCTCGATGGACTCACTGGACCCCCTCGAGCCCCCCTCCCGGCCCTCCTGGCACTTCCCACAAGGACTAAGGCCTCCATCTCTGGCGGGTGGGTGGGGTGAGTAACAGCCCCCAGGGGTGGTGGGAGGCCCGGGAGAGGGGCACCTCGATGCGGCCGATGGCCTCAGCTGGTACCCAAGGCCCCCGCCGCCGCCCGGCACAGTCCAGACATTGCCAAGGCCTGGGGGACAGATCGGCCAGGGGGCCCGGGGGACAGTGTCTGGATGCCCCAGGAGGAGTGGGCAAAGATTCTGATGCCTGCCGAGGCCTGGCTCCCCGTCCCTCGGGTGGAGTGAAGGGCCCTCTCCCTCCCCGCTCCTCTGGAGAGGCCTGCCAGGGGCTAAGCCCAGCAACCCAGGCTCCACAGCGGCCAACGGCTCCTTCGCCAGCCTGAGAATGCTCGGATCCTTATGGCAGAAACCCTGAAGAGAGGAGAAAGGATTAAGCCCGTGCTGACTTTGGTTCCCAGTTGCTTCAAAAGAAGCAAACAAACGGAAGGGTTGTGAAAACATGGAAGAGTCCACATCTCACGTACTGGTTCATAGGCACTGCTCCTCCTACGCACCACCCCACAGCCCTGGCCACCCCCAGGTCATCCCCCCGCCCCCGGGATTTCTCAGACCTCCCCACAATCCAGCCACTGAAGGGCTCGTGCCTGGCACAGCCAAAGGGCCGCCAGCAACTCTCTGGCTTATATGATGCCCTGTACCATTCCAGTTTTACAGAGCTTAGGTCTCATCCCCGGGCATGGGGGTTGCCTGTGGGGGAGGTGTCCCAGACACAGGCCTCGGGACTGCATGCACCTCTTCCCAGAGAGAGGGCTTTGTCTGCCCCTCTTTCCCGGAACAAGACGCACATTCTGAGGCCCAGACTCCCAGGGCCTTGTTCTGAGTGGACAATGGATGAGTCAGTCCCTGAAACGGCCCGCGGGCAGGGGAGGCTTAGTGAGATGGAGGTGCTTAGAGGAGGAACTGCTTAGCCTTGACTCTGTCTGAGCTCACAGGATCCTCTGTTTGGGTGCTGCCTTGTATGTTTTTGTTTGTTTTTTTTTTCTCATCAGAATGGAAGGGCAGGGTGGTGTGGCCATGAACGGGGCTGCCTGAGGATCCCTGCGCTCCCTTGCATGGCCTGCTACATACAGCACTCACCTTGCTGCCTAAGCTGAAAGCAGAGGGCACTTTGGGCTGGCCCCCTGAGTACACCCAGGGGTGCGGGGCCAGGGGCCAGTCGCACGGACGCTCTGGAGGCAGGCTGGACACTAGGTAGGGTGGTAAGCAGGTGGGCACCCAGAAGGGAGCTCGTTCCAAGATCTTGGTCTCCAGAAGGAAGGGGCAGTGCAAGGGCCGGAAGGCCACAGGGTCACTTTTGGGATGGCCGCCGCCATGCTCAGAAATCAGGGGGCCGTAGCGAGGCGGGCACGCAGACCCGTACAACGCCAGCGGGTGGGCGAGCATCGCCTCCTTCCAGCGCCGCCCCTCCTTGCCGCTCAGCCAGTCAGCCTTGCTCTCCCCGTTCCGGGGGCCTTCGCCCTCCACCAGTGGGAGCGTGTCCTTGGGGCCCTGAGGGAAGCCGGGGGGAAGCCAGGAGTCTGGGGTGTTCAGGACACCCCTCCAGAAGGGAGCTGGCTCTCCCAGGCACAGTGCCTCGTGGCGCAGGTCCCGTGGCAGGGCACTCGGCTCTCGTCCCACGATGCCGTTCTCGGGGGCTGTCTTCTCCCAGGCCGGGGTGTCCCTCAGGAAGCTGGGCGTACTCTCCATCACTCTCCTGCCCTCATGGGGCTCTCCCAGAGGGGGTCCCTGAGGCAGAACCACCAAAATACGAGCTTCTCAGGCACTCTGCCCCAAGCACAGAGCAGGTACCGCCCTGGCAACGCCAAGCCGGCTCAAACCAGTAAAGCAAGTGTCAGCCCACAGCCGGGATCCACGCTGCCTGCCCACATGCGGCTGGGGGACCCGCTTGGGTGGGATGCAGCCCTGCAAAAGGCCATCCCTACCCTCAAATACCGGGGATCTGACAGGCCCCCTGGGCCTGAGCCCCTCGGTAGAGACAGCAGAGACGGCTGTGTCGAAGGTGACACGCCTCCCAGAGCCTGGGACCCAGGCACAGGCCATGGGGAAGGAGGGGGGCGAGAACCCAAAGGGTGAGCTGGGTGGAAACGGCTGTCCTGGAGACAAGAGGACGGGATCCTGGCCCTGCCTCAGCCGCCGTTGTGCCACTTTGGGCAAGTCCCGTCACTCCTCTGGGCCTCAGGGTGCCATTGTATAAAACGGGGCTTGGAAAGCCGCGGTCCCAGAAGCCTCTTCCCAGACGGCAGTCTGTGTGTCTGGGGGTGCTGCTTGCCCACCCCCACCACTCAGCCCCGCCCAGGCTCATCGGGCTGGGAAGGGCAGGCTGGGCAGGCTGGAGTCACTGGGGGAGAGCCTCCGGGCAGGGCCGGCTGGTACTGCTTCCCACACCTGGGCAGCCACCTCTGCCTCTCCCGCAGCACTCTCTGGTTTTCTGGCTTCCGACCGCGTCCCAGGACGCCTGCTGAGTACGCAGGGATCTCCGCCGTGCCCCCAAGGGGAGGAGCGGGCCGCACGGGGAGAGGAGGATTAGGGACCTCAGCGGGGATGGGCAAAGCTACCCCTGTCCAGTGGGCAGTGCCAGAGCCACCGGCGGCCACAGTCACCGTAGCCCGGCGGGAGGGAGGGAGGGTGGGAAGGAGGCGGGGAAAGCGGGCTGCACCCCAGACAGAGGCAATGGAGGGAAAATTGAACGAGGAGCGTGAGGACCAGAGTGACAGGTGGCACCAGAGCCACAGGGCTCCCTCTTGGCGGGCCCTGGGGGAAGCCCCGGGCCAGAGCCGGCACGGAGAGCTCCCGGGTTTTCTGGGGACACCGCTCCATCGGGCCCCTTAGGTTTGGGGTGTGTGGCCCTGACCAGAGGAGCGCTGGGAGCCCATTGCTTACCTGCGCTTCACGGGCCGGGGGCGGCTCGGGCGGCGGTCCTCGGGGCCGGCGCCGGGCGCTCGCTCCCCATGGGCGAGGCCTGGTTCCCCGCGCGCTCCGGGCTCAGCGCGCCGGCGCTCTCTCCTCTCTCTCTCTCCCCCGGGGCGGCCGGGGCGCTCTAGGGCCGCAGGTTGGAGGGGTCGGACTCCGGGATCTGCAGGATGCGGCACACGGCGCGGATCGGCCGCACCAGCTTTTGGGCCGAGGCAGTGGGCTGCGCCATGGGACGCGGAGACTCCGTGCTGCGCCGCGGGGAGGGCCGAGTCGGGGCCAGGGAGCGGGGTCCCCGGAGCGAGAGGGCGAGTCGGGCCGGGGGAGCGCGCGCCCCGGATCGGAGACGGCCGGCCGAGTGGGGGAGAGGCCTGGGGGGGCCGGGGGAGGGGGTCGTGCCTGGAAGGGGGCGCCGATCCCGGGACCCGGCAGGGAGCACCAGCGAGGGCGCAAAGCGGCGGCTAGTGGAGGGAGAGCGCGGCGGGGAGCGCAGCGGGACCTCCGATCGCCATCGCCAGACGCGCAACTGAGAGCGGGGAAGCTGCTCCGCCGGTTTCCTCCTCCGGCGCCCTGCGGGGAACAGGAGCCCGTGACTCGGCGGCCCCGCCCGGGCCTGCCCCCGCCCAGGCCCCGGGGGCTTCCGCCAACGCCCCGGCGATGCCACCGGCCGCGCACGGGGAGAATGAGCCCTTTGTTCCCCCCTCCCCCCGCGGCACCCGGGCGCCTGCGAGAGAGGCTCCCCGGGGGCAGCGTGCCAGCTTCCCAGCCGCCCCACCCTCCCGTGGGCCCGGCCCCGGAGCCTGGCAGGCGGGCAGCACCCCCACCATAGGTGCCAAGCCCGGGAACTGGAGCAAAGGGCGGGAGGGGCCGGACCGGGCCACCGCGGGGCGGGGTGCCCCCTGGGGTGCTAGGGCGAGCGGCTGGCTGCGAGGGGCAGTGCCAGAGCTGGCAGGGGCGGCCGGGTTCTCACGGGTCAGTGATGGGCACTCTGACCCGCGCCAGCCGGCCCTGTGCCTGCTGGACCACAGCTCCCTCGGTCCTCTCCAGCGCTGGTTGGTACATGGGCACAGCCTGCAGGCGGTGTCTGCACTGCCTCCTCCTCACCTGGCCAAGCTGCTCCTCACCTTCTGACCCGAGCCCCCTCCCAGGGCCCAATGGCACCGTTTCCGGTGGTGCCAGCCATTGGGGGGTGGGGAGGGGGGTGAGGCTCTGTCTGCCCTGCTCTAAGGGCCTCGGTCTCACCCAGTGTCTGGGCGGAGGTGGGTCAGCGCCCCCCGCCTGCTCCAGCCCCACGTTCTGGGGTCTGCCCCGGCCCTGCGCCCAGCGCTCCCAGGCCCAGCGCTGGAGAGAAGCCCATGGGAGTGGCTCCTGGGAAGGAACAGAGCGGAGGAGAGGAAATGGGAAAGCAGGGCACCCTCCACCCGAGGAAGCATCCCGGCTCCTCTGCGGGGGTGGTTCCAGAGCACAGACACAAACAGACAGATTCAAACACACACAGGCAGATTCAGACACACACAGAAACCCACACGCCCAACGGGCGCTTCCCTTCCCCTCCGGCTCCCACCTCCCACCCCGAGATTCCCTGCCTCCCCGCGGAGGCCATCCCTGGCCGGCCGTCACCCGGCTCGGGACAGAGGAGGCCGCCACACCCCACCCACCCAGCCCACCCAGGGGACGGTTTCTGGGGTGCCCCGCTGAGTCCCAGGTCACACCACCCCTGGAGAGGGGGCTCTCCTTCCAGGAGACGGGAGGGAGGGGTCCTTTCACGGCCGAGGGAAGAGGGGGGTCTGAGAAGAGGAGGGCCTGAGGGGCTGGCCCCAGCCGGACTTGGATCAGGTTGGCTTGGATTCCCTGGGCCCCGCCGGGCTCCCCCTCCCCCTCCCCTTCCCCAGGCCAGTTCTGCGGCTGGGCAAGCTGGTAGGGGTTGTTTACTTGACTGAGTTATTAACACTCCCTTCCTCCCCCAGTTCCCCTGAGGGGCGGCCAGACCTGAGTGTGCCAGGGGCAATGATTGCGGAGGGTCTAGGACCGGCTGCCACCCCCAGCCCCAGCCTCCCCCTCCCAAGCTGGCTCCGGGGTGCAGATGGGAGCCGGGGTGCGCCTGTGGTCCCCCATCTGTGTCCTCCGGCAGCTGAAGCTTGTGGGAGAGTGGGGGGGGGGGGGGAGAGTGGAGATTCCTGCGGCTTGGGGCCTGGAAGAGGCTGGGGGGGTGAGGGGGGGAGAGAGCCTGGGCTGTTGGGGGGGGGGGGGACGGGTGGAGGCTAAGGGCCTGTCACTGGCATCCCCAAAGGGGATGGGGACGGTCTCAGGGGAGCAGGAACAGACACCTCCCTCCATCCCATCTCCCCACCCCCACCCCCACCCCCGCTGTCATGTCTGCTTTGTCAGGTCACGGTCTCTGGATTAGACCAGGACTCTCAGGACAGGCTTCTGAGATGCCCAGAGGGCGGGGGTGGGAGTGGGGGTGAGGTAGGGGAAGGAGCCCCTTTTCCCCCCTCGCCCAGCTCCCCATCCTGCTCCACGGCCCATGCCCCAGGCCCACACCGCCCTGGGAGCCTGAGGGCTGAGCAGAGCCGAGGAGACACACAAAAGACACAAACACAAGGAGGAAAGCCACACAACACGTGGACACAACGCCGGGCCGGTGGGCAAAGGATGCTAACCGCAGCCCCCAGACAAGCGTGGGCCCACCCTGCCCCACAGCGAGCCCTCACACACGGCCACACGCGTACACACGCAGGGAGACACACATCCATGCTGACAGGCGCAGCAGCACTCAGCAGCCAGCTGGTGCCCTCACGCTGTCCCCGAGCCCCTTACCTGGCCCAGCTCAGTGCTCCCCGGCTGGAGCAGCCCCCAGCCCAGGGGAGGGCAGCCGGCGGGGGCGGGGAAGGAGCCCCGGAGAGCCGGGCCAAGCTGCCACTAATCCGGGCGGGGAGAGGGGGGGCACCCACGTCAGAGCGGGGACTGCCGGGTGGAGGGCATCTGAGGACATCCCCTCCCACACACGCGGCCGTCTGGGCACCTAGCCCTATTTCCCCAGCCCCTCCATCCTTCAGACAGCTGAGGCAGGCCTCCCCCCACCCCACCCCCCACCCTCGTGGCAACGCCTGGGGCGGGGGCATGGGGGAGGGGGAACACGGGGCAAATCCTCCCAGGACAGGGAGGAGGGGAGAGGAAGGGAAGTGTGGCGATGCTCTGGGAGCCTGAAGGGAGCTCTGCAGCAGATGCCCCCGCGTCCCCTCTCACCCACCCTCCCACCCCCCTGACCTAATTCCTCTTCCCAGTCCCAGCCTCCCCTCGATCCCTGCCCCACCCCCTCCCTCAGAGCGACCTCACCACCTGGCAGAGAAAGCTAGGGCGTTCTGCCCTGCTCAGGACCTCTGACCCAGCAACTTCCACTCTGGGCAGAGGGCACCCTCCTCCAGCCTGGCTTCTGCCCCTCGCCCCCATCCAACCACTGGACATGCCAGTCCCTGATGCGGGATGGGGATCTAGGGGCGAAGGCCTGAGTGCTCACGGCTTCAACCTCCTCAAAGGTGGGGCAGTGCCAGCCAGGGCTGCCCAACTCAACTCCAGGGCCAGGGCTGTGTTGAAACGAGGGGCTAACTCCGCTGCCACCACTGAGCGTGACAGCTAAAAATACAGCAGTGGGGCCGGTGCGCACAGAGGCCAGAGCCGGGGAAGGGGGACCAGGACATGGAGGGGCCGCAGGCGGAGAGTGGCTCAGAGGCAGGGGGACTTAGGAGCCAAATGCAAGGTGCAGGGAAGGTGGGCACTAATGTGCCCAGCAGGGAGTAGGCACCTCTGTGCTTCAGGCCAGCCCTCATCCTGCTGGAGGCAGCAGGCACACTGATGGGTAATGGAAGGCTAGGGGTGGTTGGGCAGGCCAGAGCACAGCCTAGCCTTCCCCTGGGGGCCAGGCCAGAGAGGGTAAGGGCACCCGTGCGGAGGGAGGCAGCGCTGGCAGATGCCCCGCGGTCCTCAGAGGGAACAGGCAGGCTCTGAAGGGAGGCCAGCCCACACCCAGTGCCCGGTCTCAGGAGCACTTGCAGGCTTGGCCAGAAATGCCCCCGAACCTGAAATCCTCTTCAGCCCTCCGCTCTGGCCCTGAGATGTCCTGGAACCCATACAACTGCCTCAGCCGTTTGCCAAACATGTGTCACAGGGGCCTGCCATTTTCACGATTCTGCGCTGGGCACCCAGGAGATGCGGGGCACAGAGGCCATCCTGCCCTCCAGGCGCGGATGCTCTGCTGGGTCAGGGCACTTGCCCCTTTGCCAGCAGGCCCTGCGCCGAGAACCAGCGGTGACCACCCGAGTCAGGAGTGGGAATGACCACAAGGCACGCGGAGTCCCACCCTGGGGAAGTCAGGGGGGCTTCTCGGAGGAGGAGACACCCATGCTCAGACGCCGGAGAATGAGTGGGCCTTCCCGGGCACGGCGATATTTCTCTTCGGCTAAACCGCCATTTGTTCCTGGCCGGGATACAACAGTGGATAAGATGCCAGTCTGTTCTTTATGAAGTTGCAGTGCAGTCGGGGAGGAAACACAATGTGTTCGAGGCAAAAATAGAAGTCGGCACAAGAACAGCGATGGTGTGGTCTGGAAGAGCACTCCACGCCACGGGGGTGCCCGGAGGGCTTCCTGGGCGGAAGGGGGGGAGAGGGGGGAGGAGGAGGTCTCAGGGCGCTTCAAAGGGCAACTGGCCGTGGAACAGGGAGTGGGGTGGGGGAGGAAGAGCATGTCAGGAGACCAGCGTGGAGCCACGGGACAGGCCAGGTGGACAGAGGCGGAGAACACGAAGCACGTCGAGTGGAAGGGAGGCCAGCTGCGAAGGGAGAGCGATGGGGACACCAGCACAGCCCACGGCATTCTGTGCCCAGGACAGGGTGAGCTGGCCAGAGATCGGGAGGATTCGGAGCTGAAGGAGGGGTTCCCCAGCCAGGGGAGGCTTCCCAGAAACAGCAGGTCTTGAAGGAAGGTCGTGACAGGCTGGGAAGAAAGACTGTTCACGGGACCAGAGATTCACTCAGCAGGAGCGAAGGTCGGGAGACTGATGCTGGAATGAGTGGGAGGTGCTCAGGCGGCAGAAAGAGGAGTGGCATGGGTAAAGGCTGAGGTTGTGGGGCTACGGGGGGCCGGCAAAGAGGCTGCAAGGGAAGGTGGGGATCATGGACCTGAGATAAGGTGACCAGATGTCCCGCTTTTGGCGGGACAGTCCCGATTTCTAACAATTTGTCCCACGTCCCATGAAGTTTTAAAAATCCCGATTTAAAAAAAAAAAAATGTTAGAAATCGGGACTGAGACAGCATCACCGTCACCTCAGGGGCCCAAGTGACTCTGCTGCTCACTCTAAGGCCCATCCTGGGAATGAAGGCCTGGGAAGCCCCGCTCCCATGAGAGCTCCTTCCTCTCCCTCCCACAACCCCAGGCCTCCCCCAGCTCACCTTCCCTTTCATTTTGCTCCAGTCACCAGATGATCCTCTGTTCTGTTCTCAGTTCAGAGGTGGGTGTGGGTCCTGCCATTGCACTCTACCTAAGCCCCTTCCGGGCACGTTTGCATCTGGAGATGCGACCCCCACCCTCGGGTAGCATAATCGAAGACGCGTCGCTTCACCTCTCTGAGTCTCAGTGTTTCCGTCTGTAAAATGAGTACAGCCTACTACCTCAGACTTGTTGGGAAGATTCCAGGAATTCCTCTCTGTCAAGTGCCCAGCACAACGTTTGATACATCCTAGTCTCCCTCTTGCCTCCTAAGCAGGAAACATCTCATTTACTTTAAGTCTGACTCTGGAGCCAGAGTGCCTGCGTCAAAGCCCAATTCTGCCACGTACTGTGTGACCTCAGACAAATTACCTGCCCTCTCAGGCCTGGTTTCCCTTTTAAGAAATGGAGATTATAATAATAATGTGTAACCTCATGAGATGGCTGTGAGGGTTAAATTAATATGTCAGGGGCTTAGAGCAGCCCCTGTTGGGGTGGGCACATTCCCGGTGCTAGCCATTATTAGACTTTGCATCCCCAGTATCTGGCAACATGCCTGGTACCTGGTACATACTTAATAAAGATGTTTTGAATGAATAAATGAAGAGATAAGTCAGCACCATGATGCAAGGGAATGCCAAGATAGGATGTCACCTCCTCCCCCATCCCACTCCCGCAGATTAAGCGCCTCCCCCACAATAAAACCCAGATAATCCCACACCAAGAGTTAATCCATACTCCTCAGATCACTCTCCGTTACCACCCGGGCACCCCTCTTCCCACCAGACACTCTCACCAACCTCTTTGCTTAATCAAAAGAGATAAGGAAAAGCAGACTGGACTGGGAGAGGGGAGCAGCCTTGGGACACTGCAGGGAGACCAGCTTCGGGGGCAGGAGCGGGCAGAGCCTGACTGGTGGCCCCAGGGTTAGGGGAGGGGATGGAGCGGAGCCAGCCCAGGCACAGAGCCTAAGTCGGGGACAACGCTGGAGACTCAATGTGGATGGGGCAGGCTGAGGACCAATGACCTGAGCGGCAGGGAGCAGGAGGGAGGGCCATCAAAGGCCAGGCCGGAGTTCCGCATGGCCCTTCCAGCCAACCAGAGGCCAGGCCCTTGCAGGGCACATCTCTGGCCAGCCTCTCTCTGAGCCCCACCCTCCTTGACCTGGAAACTGGGGGCAGCCCAGACCCTGGCAGCTGCTGCCCTCTAGTGTCCACTCTGCAGCGATGCAATGCTCCCAATGTTGACCGTGGACAGAAACTCAATGCCACCTACCGTGTTTCTCCGAAAATAAGACATCCTCTGAAAATAAGACCTACTTACAGGTTTCCTTCTGAGTGAAATATAAGGTATCCCCCCGAAAATAAGGCCCCCCCTAGGCTAAACATGAGAGATTTGGTCCACTGATTCTGAAAGAAATGGAGTCACAAGAAATTCACCAGGAAATTCAGGAATTAGATTGTTAATGATGATGTTCCAGAAGATGATGACATGATTGTTATTGAATAAATGAGTAAATTCTTGATATTGTAGGATTCACAGTTTGTCTGGTTTGTGTTGACAACTACCGTACTACCGAACCGTATACAGGTAATAAATTTCCTTTATTTTCATTTAACAATAAATGTGTACCGTATTCTTCATGGAAAAATAAGACATACCCCTGCCGGGACCGGTTTGGCTCAGTGGATAGAGCGTCAGCCTGCGGACTGAAAGGTCCCAGGTTCGATTCTGGTCAAGGGCATGTACCTTGGTTGTGGGCACATCCCTAGTGGGGTGTGGGTGGGGGTGGGGGGGGTGCAAGAGGCAGCTGATCAATGATTCTCTCTCGTTGATGTTTCTAACTCTCTGTCCTTCTCAATTCCTCTCTGTGTAAAATCAATAAAATATATTTTAAAAAAAAATAAGACATCCCCTGAAAATAAGACCTAGCGCATCTTTGGGAGCAAAAATTAATATAAGACACTGTCTTATTTTCGGGGAAACAGGGTAGGTGCCCCTGGGGGAAGTCAGCCTCCCCAGGTGTATTCCGTGCACAGCTCCAGCTAGTCCCCCTCCAGACCCATGCTCCCACTGGTTTCTCCACCTGCCATCCAGTGCACCTTCGAGTCAAGGCCAAGCCCACCTCCTCCTGACTGCAGCCTTCTTAGGCTCTGACCTCTCAGAACTAGGTCCCCACTCTCCCACATGTGTGCTCCAAGGTCTCCAAGAGCCTTCTGTGAGCACCTGCCACACCACGGTTGTCTCCCACAGAAAGAGGACTAGGCCCCTCTGGCCGTCTGACTGTCCTTTAGCTCTCACCCTAAGCTGTTTAACAATGTACGCTATGAAGACTGGGGATACAAACCAGGAGACACGGAACACTGTTACATATTTATTTATCAAATCTTGCACAAACCGACCTCACTCACCAACACAAAACACACAACCGGGACACACACACACGAGGCCTCGGAGAAGGCTGTCAAGTACTTTGAAGGACGGGAAGGAATGAACACACCTGGGTGGGCTTTGGTTTCGTCTGCAGGGGCCTGGGGAGGGCTCTGGTCCCCTCCCTGCGAAGGTAGAGGAATGAGAAAGACTATAAATAGAACCCCGGGCCCAGCTGGCTTTGGTACATCTCAGGTCATCCCTGTGCGTGGCCCCAGCGGCAACTGCCGCCAACAGCAGGCGTCGGAGGGCAGAGCCCAGGCAGCTGGTGCGAACAGGCCCTACGTGCAGCCGGGGGGCCCCTTCAAACAGCCCCCGGCGGCCTGTAGAGCACGAGGTAAGACGGTTGGCTCTGCAGACCCTAGCTGCCCAGGTCGGAGGGCACAGTCTTTTTCCTCGTCCGCACCTTCAGGGAGCGCGAGGTGCCCTGTGGGGGAGAGAGCAGGCACACCGTGAGGTCCAGGCTGACGCGCGGGCAGCCCACCTCCCTCTCGTCCCTTTGCCGCTCACCTCCCGTGCCAGCGGTTTCTTCTTGATCGTACGCAGGCTCTGGCTGCGGCTCAGAGGCTTGTCTCGGGGCCGGGGTGGTGGCTGGGGCACCACTTCGGTATCTGACCAGCACTCATCCTCCGTGTCGGTGTCCTGCAGGCCCCCTGCTCGGTACCCTGTGCGGAGAAGGGGGCGGCATTGGGCATTCACAGCCTGCAGGCCTGGGCTGAGCCCTGGGGGAAGCCAGCCTTCTTGGGACATCTCTGAGCCGCTCTGCCCACTCACCGATGGGTGGCCTGTGGCGGGGCATCTGGTCCTCCAGGTAGAGGGGGTCCTGGTAGTTGGGGCCGTCATGGGTGTCAGGGATGGAGCGCAGGTCCTGCATGGAGAAGCTGCGCAGCCTCCCGGCCAGCGCATCCTGACTCTGCAGGGAAGGGGGAGGGCAGGTCACCAGGGCTCCTTGCAGGAAGGGGCCTTCGCCAGGGCAGCCGCCGGGGAAACCAAGACTGGCCAGAAGGTAATCACTGGGGCAAAGGCCTCAGTCCTGAAAGCGCCTCAACAGCCTTCTAGTCCCGGGTCCCCGGGTCACCACCAGGAAACTAAAGCGTGGAGAGCAGCAGCAGCTGCTCACTCACGGTCAGTGTCAGAGCCAGGAGGTGTGAACTCCCAGCGCCAGGCTCCGCCGCCAACACCTGTCACCTCTCACCCCTGCTCCCTGGGACGGACAGCTGCTACCCCTGGGCTCACGGACAGAGAGCTGAACTTGCCCAAAAGGCCCCGGGGGTGGGAGTGGGGGTCTGAGGGAGGGCGGGGCCCCAGGGCACCTTGGCGGCGGCCTGCACAGCGGCCGTGGCGGCGATGTTGAGGCCCCGCTTCCCGAAGCTGAGCATCGTCTCGTAGCTGCGCTCCTTGGCCTGCACGATGTAGGTGTCGATCTCCTGCAGATCGGGGCACAGAGCTCAGAGGATAGGCTCAGGCACTCTTCCTCCGCTGGCCCGCAGGCGTCTCTGAGCACCCCCTCTCCCAGCCCACCTCCACCCACAGGGGCCGGCAGCCACACCGAGAGCACCCCGTCCCACCCCGCAAGGAGCAGCCATGCTCCGGCCTCCCCCTCGCATTCCCAAACCATCTCCTGGCTGACTCTTCCCTCCCCCAAAGGCCACTCAGGGGCTCCCCATTGGGTTATCCCAGGCGAGGCTCCGTCAAGATCCCACAGACCAGGGTCGGAACCTAGGTGTCCCCCAGGGGCCTGAATTCTGAGTCCAGGGCCCTTCCCCTCACACCCATTCCTACGCGTCATCCCTGCTCCCCCGGGGGTACCTTCTCGTGGCGGGACAAGGCTGGGTGGACAAACTTTCGGTAAAGCAGGCTGGCCCCTTTGGTGTGGGGCGAGAGCAGCCACAGCACGAAGGCCATCTTGATCTCGTAGTAGAAAGGGAACCTGTTAGGGCGCAGGGGGTCAAGGTCAGGCCCGGGGCCAGTTCGAGGGTGGGACATCCCCTCCCACCGCCCACGAGCCCCGGCACCCATACCAGGAAATGAAGATGTCTGAGAAGGCCTCCACCGCCATGAAGAGGGCAAAGACGATCCAGTACATCATCCACCGGACCTGGAGAGGGGGGAGAGGGCGTGGGGGGGGGGGCGTGCATCAGAGGCTAGTGCCTGAGCCTGCAGAGCCAACTCACTGTCCTGGGCTGATCCAGCCCTCGGATGCCAGGGAGCTTGTCCTGCTGCATTCCTCTGGCACCTGGATGGCCCTAGAGAGATGCCTCTGAGAAACTGCCACTCATTCCTGCACCAGCCCCAGCGGGCTTCACCCACAAGTTACTACACAGGCACCTCAATAGCACCCCTCCCCACTCCATCCACACTCACTCTGCTCAGGATCTGTCAGCCATGTATGCCCCTGGAGGAGGGGGAGGCCAGTTCAGACTCTCCCCACCCTCCCCCCCACGTCCTACCATACCCCTCGCCAAGGCTGTCACATCCCACCCCACCTGATCCAACCGCGCCACTCACATATTCACGAATGTTCTTGGTCTTCACAGCCTTATAGGAAGCGTAAGCTGGGTACAGCATCCCAAACACTAGCCTGGAAGAGCAGCCGGAAAAGCAGAGGGGGGATGTGAGGGGTGCCATGCCCTGCCTTGTCCCCCCTGTCGCCCCCCCATAGGTGGCCACCACCTCCCCCACGGGTTCAAGGTGACAGTGCCTACCCTGTTCTTCCCGCTTGGCTTGCACAACCTGCATCTGAGTCAGTGCCCTGGAGGCCACCTCCCCACCCTGCTTGTTTACAAACACCCCAACACACCTGCCCAGGCCTGCACAGTGGCCCATGGGTGCGCGGGCACAGACAGCCACTGAACAAGGCGGGTTGGAGGCAGGCTCCTGAGAGCACCTCCCCCCTCCCTTGGACGTGCAATCAGGCCCAGGGCCACCTGGCCTGACACCGCCAGGCTGCAGGTGGATAGTCAAGCCAGGCACCCAAGTACTGAAAGGTGACGAGTAGGGAAGTGAGGTGCAGGTGGAGGGGGAGGAGGATGAGTCATGTGACTGCTCAGATGGGAAGCAGGCACCTGGATTCTCCTCCCACAACGTGCCACGACACCTGGGGTTGCCAAGGGGCTTAGGGCCAGCCTGTGGACTCCCACCGTGGGCACCAGCCTGCAGTGTGTGAGTGCCGGAGGGGTCCCCATCACCCGAGGAGACTCTGGGGCCAGGGCGACGTGCCCGCGGTGCCCGAGGCCGCGTGCAGGCCCGCAGATCCGTTAACCATTGCGGTGAGCGTCGGGGGAGTGGGGGCTGTTGTGTGACGACGCTCATAGAGACCCTTTTCCTACCCGACATCCCCAGGTGCCCCCCAGGGGCGGGCCGGGCCCCCCAGGTGAGCGGCCATACTCACACCACCAGGCGGCAGATCATCCAGGACACCATCCTGCGGCCTCGGGTGCCGAGGGAGCCCCCCGGGAAGGCGCCCGGCGAGAGGCTCCCGCAGGTCTGGAGGGGGCGGTCTGCGGAGGTGCGGAGCCCCCGGAGGAGGCGGACCGGCCGGCGGGGCGGGAGACCCGGCCCCGGGGAGCCGCTCGGAGCCGGAGGGCGCGCTCCTGCGCAACGCCCGCGGCCGGGCGGTTACGGCGCGCCCCGCACTCCCAGCCGCGGAGACCGGGGAGCGCGGCCCGGCAGGTCGGATCGCGGCCCTCGGCGGGTGCGAGTGGCCTCGCTAGCGCGAGCCTCCGAGTCCCTGAGCCTCCGGGTCCCTGAGCCTCCGGGTCCCTGGGCCGCAGGCGCCCGCAGCAGCTCGGGGCGGAGTTTGCAACTCACTTGAAAGTTGCACGGAACCGGGATCTGCCCAACCCCGGGCCGCCGCGCACGGCGCAGGCGCGGAGCGGCCCGAGGGGGCGGGGCGAGGTCAGGGGGCGCGGCCTGCGTTTTAAAGGGCGGGACCCTCCGGCTGGCGGGTGGGGCCCCGTGGCGGAGCAGCTGCCCAGATCCGGGAGGTTGGGGGATGGGAAGCAACGACAAAATGGTGGGGCAAGTGGGGGGAGGCGGGAGGGTAAGTTGGGGGGACAGGTGGGGGTACGGGTTGGGGGGGAAGCGAAGGAGGTTTGGACTCGAGTTTGGGGACTCATCACTGCTCCCCCCTCCCCCCCGCCTCGTCTTCCCCTCTGTAAAATGCGAACGGGCTCCATGTGGGTGCTGGAGGCTCGTGGAGCGCCTGCAAATCCGGGTCTTACTTCACTGGCACCAGAGCTCAGGATTGCCTCAGCTGACTAGAGGGAAAGTGGGGAGGAAAGGGCAGAGGGGGCCCAGGGACTCGTCACACACACACACACACACACACACACCCGCACCCCGGGGAGCGCAGGCTGCGGGGACTGATTTCTGTCTGGGTGCTCTGCCAGAGCCCGGCGCTGGGCAGGCTGGCGGCGAGGGATTCTGGGCAGAGTCCCCAGCCCCCGTGCCTTCCCCAGAAGTTCGAAATTCCACCTCTTCCTCTGAGCCAAGAATACAAATATCCCTCCCTGGGAGCTTACTAAGATCACCGATTGCCATTTTGTAGTGCATTTTTTGTGTGTAGGGTCTTGATCTTTACAAAGATCCTTTTTTTTTTTTTTTTTTTTTTTTTTTAAACGACACAACAGCCATGCTCTGACGGCAGGTGGATAAACGCTTGGCCTGATCAGGTGCCTGCAGATGCCTTAGGAGGGGATAGGGAATGCAGACGCTGCTCCGGGAGGGAGGTGTATGCCTGGAAGAAGGTGAAAGGCTCCAAAGAGAAGGCAAACTCCGCTGCCTCTCCGACTTTCCATGCGGGGTTACACCGGCTGTACCTCTCCTACCCATTGCCTCCTTCCCCCTCCGCACTGCACCCGCCCACACTGCAGCGTCCCTCTGCCTCCGGGCTGAGCTGAGCTGAGCGCCAGCAGAGCTGCGGGGGTGGGAAATGGGCAGCTATTACCTTTTATTAGAGCCATATTTAACGCCCACCACCCCCTCAAAAGATGAAATAGGTAATGACGGGGGGGCCAGGGAAAGCAGGCTACTTGGGAATAAATCAATAAAAACATATTGTGATTATACTTAATTATTATAATCATTTTTATTGGTATTGCTGGGAGTGAGAGCGAACCGTGAAACCGGCCCACAGGAGAAGCTCCTGAGGCCCTGCTGCCTCCAGTGCCTAGCCATCCCCTCCCACTGGGCCCAGCTCCCACCCTGCACTGGAGGAATAGGAAATGCCGAGAGCTGGCACCCCACCATCCATCTCACCATCCATCTCCTGGCAGAGTCCTTGGGGAAGAAAGGTGTGACTGAGTCAAGAGAGGGCCGGCTCAGGAGTGGGGTGGGGGTGGGCTGCAGAAGCGGGAAGAGGTGTCCATGCTTCGGGAGGTAAGGGTGCCTGGCTGACTGCACACATGTGAGTCTCATGTGCATGTAGAGCAGCAGTCTTCTCCCACCAGCCATCTTCCAGAGTCACACGTGTGACCTCAGCATCGCCGGCTTTTCCCTCTCCCAACTGGCTGGGGGAGGAGCTCCCCTGTGCCCACTGGGACGGTCTCTCACAGGGAGACTCCTGGTCCCCATGACTGTGCTTGGGAAGTCTAAGGGTCAAGACGTGAGAAGTCTGCTGCTGAGAGCAGGGCTCCGCGTGGAGGGGCCTGAGGCTGGCAGCTGTGTGTGTGTGTGTGGGGGGGTGTCACCTTCCTCAGCTTTGGCAGAGTAAGTGGACTCTGCCTCTCACGGCCTTTGGTCCTGAGCTGTTGACACAATCACCCAGTTACCCTGGGTTGCTAAGCAGCTCTCTGGACACACAGATGACCCCCAGGTGGAGAGAGCAGAGCTTTCAAGGAGAAAAGTGTTTCCATCTTTGGGAAGAGCCCCGGGGACTGGGAGGCGGGGATGACCGCCAGAGTGATGTTTGTCTTCCTACTGGGCAACAGAGGGCCAACGGTCTGAGAGACTCAGTGCGCTCTGCCTGGCAACCTATGTGTGCACAACATGAGGACCTGCTACCCCTGTGACAATTCCGGACCAGCGCTCCCTGGGCTGTGTCGGGGGGACCTGTGGGTGCCTCCTAAGCCAGAAGCACAGGAGTGTGGTTTATGAAGGTGGAAACCCACACATACCACCTATGAGATTCCCCGTTGTGAGGAGTGGTCAGGGGCAGGGTTGGCTCCAGGTAAGATGGAGGGCACAGGGGCCTTGAAACCAAGGATATCAGTTCTCTCCGAAAGGCACACTTCTCCTCCCATAAAGCAGCCTCTCTGAGCCACCTGAGTCTCACACAGTCCTACAGGCCAATAAAATTATACTTCTGCAACAGACACACTCTTTGAAGGGTCTTGCATATATTAATAGACTATACACTGAGCGGCCAGATTATTTTGATCTCTGAACACATAATAATCTGGCCCTCCAATTAGAGTATTAGAGGGGCCAGGTGCATGAATTCATGCAATGGATGGGGTCTGGCCAGCCTGGCCAGGGGGAGGGGACATGGGCGGTTGGCTGGCCTGCCTGCTGGTCAAACTCCTGGTTGAGAAGACAATTTTCATATTAACCTTTTATTATATAGAATATACACTGAGTGGCCAGATTATTATGCATTTAGAGATCATAATAATCTGGCTACTCAGTGTATATTGAGAGCATTTACACTTCACACGAACCCTGTCAGGTAGGTCTGACTGTCCCCTCTTTACATATAAGGAGACAAAGACAAATAGGCTGAGTGACGTGGTTGAGGTCACCCAGCTGGTTAGTGGCCGAATCGGGACTGGACAAAGTCAGGTTTATGTTCTGTGATGCAGAAGCAGCTCAGGCTCCAGGAAACCAGCCTACTTGCTTAAAATCTCGCATCCAGGTCAGAGGGTGGCAGTGATGACAGACACTTGCCAAGAGGGCGTGAGGAGGGGAGGGACTGCTGAGCTTGTTTTCGGTCATATTGATTGGAATTCACCTGACAGAGGGACAGACTCCCGTGACCCCAAGACTGTGTTCTCCAGGAAGGAGCACTCAGGGCCATGAGTCAGCCCCAGGAGGTGAAGACCGGTCACACTCACCCAGCACTGGAGCTCCTGACCCCAGCACCAGCAGACTGTGGGGGTACCCACTCATTTGTCAGAGGGAAGGGAGCAGGGAGGGACAGGGTCGGAAAGCGGACCCCGGCCCCTGCGAGCAGGAAGGACAGACAACACGCTATGTTCTTGATGAAACAGCTGCTGCTGCTGGCCGTTGCCGCTGACACCTGGAAGCTGGCCATGGGGTGGGAACTTTTTATTTAAAGCAAATGTATTCTAGCATTGCCCCAAGTATCCCCCAGCCCTAGCATCCTGCCACAGCAGCCCCTCCCCATGCCTTCTCCACCGCCCCCTACCGTCTATCCCCAGCACACTGCCTCACAGCTCTATCCCCAGCACACAGCAGGGGGCAGCAGAAGCTTGGCTCCCAGGTGCCACACCACTGGGCAGGCCCTCAGACCTCTACCACCCAGTTTGCCCTGAAAGGCAGTGCCCCTGGCGTGTGCATCTGTGGCCAGAGCCCCCAAGATGCTCTCCAGCCCGGCTCTACTCCCGGAACCTGCCCAGATGACTGGAGTGCTTGCAGGGTCGCTGGCCTGGCCAGCTCTGGGTCTTAGACAAAGGGTCCAGCACAGCTCAGGGTCCGGGTTGTGCAAAGGAGGGTGGGTGTCTGAGGCTGGGGCAGCTACAGGAAAGAAAAGCAGGAAGGCTTTTGTCTGGAAAGTCTGCCCTCCGTGGGGACAGGGTCAGAGAAGAAAAACCCCAGTGAGAAAAGAGCCAGAATCAGGGTTTGCTAGGGTTGCTGTTGTTATTGCTTTGGGCAAAGGGGCTTTGCCCCCCAGGAGGTCAAGGTGGTGCCCCTCCCATCCTGATCAGCGATGAGCAGAGGAGGGCGGTCGTGTGCCCTCTCCAAGAGGGGAGGAGGTAATGAGGCGGGCCGGGTTCCTTTGGGCAGAGCTGGATCTGCATGTGTGCACAGGGAGACAGGGGTGTGGACAGGCGTGTGTGCGTGTGGCTGAGGGTGTGGGCCAGACCCCACATGTACATGCCGGAGGAGGGCAGGGTGGGGGAGTGTGCCTGCAGTGGAAAGGGTGTCACTATGGCTGCAATGTGGGATGTGAGCAGGTTAAGCAAACCCCAGGAGCACCAACAGGGGTGACCAGAGGGTCAGACGCATCAGCCCAAGACCCTCCCTCCCAGCACCCCTCCCTCTCCCCGGGCCAGAGCTTGCGGAAAGCAGCAGATCCAGCGGGGCCTGCCGATGGGGTGTGGGACCCACAGACAGGAGGGTCCCGGTAACTGGCTGGCCAGGTGCATATACAAGTCCCCATGCTAATGATGATGACCGGCTCCCGGGGCCAGTCCATGTGGTGCCCATGCTCACCAGGAGTGTGTGTGCAGGAGGTTAGCTACATGTGTCTCCATGCAGCCAGGCACCCACGCTGCTCACACAGACCCCCCCCCTCAGCCCCCAATCCAGAGGCCTCGGCACCCCGCTAGGCACTAAGATCCACCACGACGTGTCGGTACACAAGTGTCTGTCCCTTGAAGCTGGGGGCCAGGAGCAGCTGGGCGTCCCCGGCAAGCATGTAGCAGAAGGCCCGAGGGGCCTGCACAGCCAGCTCCTGGAACCGCACGAACTTCTCCCGCCCCTCATCCCACTGGTAGATCTGGGTGAAGGAGAAGTCGCTGCCCAGCGCCAGGTAGCGGCGGCCGCCCACGAGGAAGGGCTGCAGGGCCATGGAGCCGCGGGAGGGCAAGGCCTGCACCTCCGAGAAGCGGGTGCCCTCCCAGCGCAGGATCTTGGAGTCCCCGATGTAGCGGCTGAGGCACAGGTAGCTGTCGCGGCCGGCACGGAAGTGTTTCACAGCCTGGGCATCGGGCACCTGCGTCACCTCCCCCTGGGCCACGAACTGCTTCTGGTTGCGACTCCACTGATAGATGACCGGCGCCTGGGAGCTGCTGGACACGATCAGCCGGGGCTTGCCCTCACCGTCCACAAACTCCAGGTCGGTATCGCGGTGCCAGGCGTGCAGGGCCTGGTGGGAGTAGAAGCCATTCTGGTGCCAGCGGTAGAGGCTGGTGGCACCCGCCTTGGAGCTGTCGGCCACGGCAAAGTACCAGTCGCCGTCGATGCGAAAGGCCTCCAGGTCGTTGGGCTTGCGCACACGCTGCGGGTCGATGTCCTGCAGCTTGGTGAAGCGCGTGGTGTTGGGGTCCCAGTGGTAAATGTAGGAGCCACCAAACAGCTGGGCCACCACCACGTACAGCTGGCTGTCCACCACCATGGGCTTGCAGTGCACGGCCGAGGGAGCTGCCGGGACACGGGGAAGCAGCGTCAGGCAACACAGGTAGCTTCGTGCCCATGCCCAGCCTCAGAAAAGGGGGTCAGTCCCCACCGGCCCTCGGCCAAGGCCAAGGCCCTCTGCTACAGCGGTCCCTCCCACTGAAGTTCCTCTCATCGCCTCACAGCTAACACAATTGGTGTCAGCATCACCCTCCATCCACTCTTTTTTTTAAAAATTATTTTCTTCTTTTTAAAAAATTATATTTTATTGGTTTTGTACAGAGAGGAAGGGAGAGAGAGAGTTAGAAACATCGATGAGAGAGAGTCATTGATCAGCTGCCTCTTGCACACCCCCTACTGGGGATAGGCCCGCAACCAAGGTACATGCCCTTGGCCAGAATCAAACCCGGGACCTTTCAGTCCCCAAGCCGACACTCTATCCATTAAGCCAAACCGGTTTCAGCTCCATCCACTCTTGACCCCCCGGGTTCAAATATATACTAACAGGGAGCACAAAACAGGCATTCCTAGATATTGATGGGCTGTTTAACCGTTGTGTCAATTATTGAATTTATATTGTGTACAGTCACTGTGCTAAGTGTGAACACTCTGAAATGCACCCTGTTGTTTTGCCATTTCACACAGAAAGAAACTGAGGCTCACTGTCTGACTTGTCCGAAGCCACCCGCTGGCAAAAGGCTGGGGAGGGAGGGGGAGTTTGAACTCATCCATAGCTCAAGAACATTCTCCCAAGAACTCCCACTTTTTGAAAGCTTTTATGTATGAGCACAAATGTACTTGTGCTCAACCAAACTGATTCGACACCTTCCCAGGCACCCAAAGCTGATGGGCCGCGCTCCCCACCTGCTTTCACGCACTCTCCTTTCCCCCAGCACTCCACCTCCCTCCAAGGGAAGCCCAGGCTGAGCCTCAGGCTCTGGCAGTTACTGAATCCCTCTTACAGCCTTTGTCTGCTCACCCAGCTCCTCACCACCCGCTCCTGAACCACCCCAGCTCAGACTCTTTGCCCAAATTCCCTCAAGCACCTCAAATGCCAGTTGGCCAAAAATGAGCTCCATATCTACCCCTAAACCTGTTCCTCCTCCTCCTTCTGTGTTCTTCTTCTTTTTCTTCTTTTTTTTTTTTTTTTAATTTTATTGATTTTTTTACAAAGAGGAAGGGAGAAAGATAGAGATATCAATCAGCTGCCTCCTGCACACACCCTACTGGGGATGTGCCTGCAACCAAGGTACACCCCTTGACCGGAATCGAACTTGGGACCTTTCAGTCCACAGGCTGATGCTCTATTACTGAGCCAAACGGGTTTCAGCTCCTTCTGTGTTCTCGATGTCAATTTGTGGCTTCACCTAGTCACCCCAACCAGAAACCTGGGAGCCACTCCCCAACACTTCCTTGTTCCTCATTCACACACACCTGATCAATTCCCAAGTTCTGTCAACACTCCTTTCTGCTTTCTAGTACAATTTGTGTAAGATTAGTGTTATTTCTTCCCTAAGCATTTGCTAGGATGCACCAGGGAAACCATTTTGATCTTGTGTTGGGGGGGAGGTGTTTTGTTTTTGTTTTTTATAATGACTGCAAGTTCTTTCCTAGATATAGGGCAATTTAATTTTTCTGTTTCCTCTTGTGTCAGTTCAATCCTCTTTTTTATAATCCTCAGTTAAATATAACCGAGACCCCGCTGCTGCCTCAGTCCAGGCTCCAGCTGATTCTCCTCCATGTTTTCTCCCATGCCTAGCCACTCTCCACAATGCTCACAGACAGTTGTCTAAAATATAGATTGGATTGGCTCACACACTTTCTCAAAGCTCATCAATGACCTTGTCCTCATCTCTCTCGGGACTGCCACTGTCCACCTTGAACCTTATGCTGCAGTCATATAAGCTGCTTATATCAGCCTGCGCTCACACAATAAGCTGTAGCACACCTTGACTTTGCTCATGCTCTTCCCTCTACCAGAACATCATCCCCACGTTTTCCCTCCTCATTTAGTCTCCCTCAGCATTCTAGACTCAGTTTAAACTCAGTATCTCCTCCTTTTTAGTTCATTGGCACTACCCACTTACTTAAAGCCAGATACCTGGGCACCACCTCTGACTCCTCCCTCTCCCTCATCCTTCAAAACTCAGTGTAGGCATCCCTCTGCCAGGAAGCTTTCCTTGATTGTCCAGGGTAAGCCTCTCCTTTGTGTTCCCAATGCATGGTGTTCATATCTTCCTCTTAGCACCGGCCTCAGTCCATATTATATAAATATTATCTGTGTATGTATCAGCCTCCCTCCAAAGACTAGAACATTCGTATGAGCCGAGGCCATGTCTCATCTATCTCTCTCCCTATAGGAACTCAATGGAGAAGAACAATGGGGCCTCCCGCCCACAGCTCTGCTCCCCCCAGCTGGGGCCAGCACAGCCAGGCTGGGCACAGGTACCTGGGATTCTGTCATAGTCTCGAAGCTGCCGTTCAACATAGTCCCACTTGAGGACAGTGCAAGCGCTGGCCCCGGGCTGGGCCAGGGCCACGTAGAGGTCGCTGGAGTAAAAGAAGGGCTCAGCTGACACTGCTGGGAAGGACAGGGTCTGGTACAGCACAAAGTCTGCAGGATTGGGGTGGGAAAGAGAGAGCGTTTGTTGGATCGTAAGGGTTGCACAGTGAACAAGGCAGGGAGTTGGAGGTTCAGGCAATGCTTGTGGCGCTCCCTTGGAGAGGCTCAGCCTGAGGCCGGAGGCAGGGGCATCTCCTACCTGTGGTGACGCAGTCGAACTCCCGCAGGGGCAAATCCTGCACCTTGTGCTCCTGGAAGCGGGGCGGGCTGGCGCAGTAGATGGGGGCCACCGTGGTGTTGGTGTGCGCCAGCCACTCCACCAGCCACTTCACCTTGCAGTCGCAGTTGAGCGAGTTGCCCCGCAGGTCCCTGATCGTGAGGGTGATGGAGGGGGCAAAGGGAGGACAGGCTCTCAGCTGCTCAGGCCTTCCTCACACCCACACCCCTTCCCCCTGCAAACCAAGCCCTCCTAGCTTCTCAAGGCTTTATGATCTTCCCAATGCTGGCTCCACACCACTCCCTCCCGGGACACGCCCCCCTGTGGCACTGTCGGGAGAGCTAGGACTCCGGCCTTACAAGTCGCTCAGGATGTCCAGGGGCCGGAAGATGTCTCGAGGCAGTGTCTGCAGGTTATTGTTGGCCAATGAGCTGCAAGAGAGAGCCGTGGGTCACCTGAAGAGGGTGACTGAGGCCAAAGGCCACGAAAGAGAGAGATGGGTGTGTGTGGGGGGCGGGGGGGGGGGGCGGGCGGGTAAGGGAAGGGGTAGTGGTTCGATGAATGAAGGTAAGTGTGGGATGTACTCACAGGTGTGTTAAAGACTTGAGTCCTCGGAAAGTAAACTTGGATAGTGCCCAGATGTCGTTGTTCTCAATGAAGCTGGAGGAGATGAGAACAGTCTCAACCATCACTCAGGGCCCCCGGCCCCCACCCACCGCTGCCACCTACTTCCCTACACCGTGCCCAGATGCCAGCCCATGGCCCTCAGACAGGCTTTTAGGCCTAATGTGGAGACATAAAGCCAGTGGTGATAAGGCATCCAGGCAGGGCGATTCAGGCAGAGGGATGGAGGAAGTGACCTCTGCTCTGCTCGGTCCTGCAGTCAGCAGATTCAAGGGCTCTCAATGCCCCCAGCCTTCCTCCTTCAACCTCCTCTCCGAGCCCGCCCAAGCCCTTCCCATCCATCCTCCCTTCGACCCTCCATTTCCCCTTCCTTCCCACACACAGGTACTGCAGGTGCGACAGTCCCGTGAAGGCGTTGTCTCCGATCAGTGTAAACTTGTTGGAATTGAGTAACCTGGAGAGACAAAGGCAGAGTTAGAGCTTCCGAGGGTGTGCCTGCTGCCTCACCCCTGGGCTTCTTCAAGGCCTGGCTGCCCTGCCTCCCGCCCCGGGGACCCCAGCAGAGAGCCCCAGAGCAGTCTAGGCAGCAAGACCAGGCAGGAGCTGTTCTCGTCCCAGAAACTCCCAGGGTCCCTGAAGGCTCTCAGGGTAAAAACAGCCAGGGCTGATCTTTCCTGGCAAGCTGGGTCTACCCCCCCCCCCCCCCCCCCCCCCCCGCCCCGGCATCTCTGCTCTGTGTCCCACTCTCAGCCAGGGTTGGTCCAGTCCCTCTAGGGCGGATGGTGAGAGGGAGGTGGGGCAACCCTCTCATGTGACTAGGGCTTCATGTAAACAACCCTTTTACATGCTCTCTAGTCTTCCCTCAGTTCAGCTTCCAGCTCTTTCCTCAAACCCTAGGGTCAACTGTCTCTAAGATGACCCTTCTCCCCTGCAGTGTTCGCTTTCCGGCACCCACCTAATTTACTGCACCCAGTTCCTTTAAGTCTCTAGAGACAAGTCCATTCCTAGCTGGACCCCACATCTTGGCTTTTGCATGCAATCCCATCCCTCCTCCCCAACCACTGCTCCTCCACCCTCCTGACCCCAGGCAGCTCCACCTCTTGGGGCATGTCCATCCGGACAAAAGTAGGGACACCTGCATCTTAATTTCCAAAGGCTACCCACATGGGCTCTCCCCAGCCCAGAATCTGGCTGTTCCCTTCTACGACTCCTCCCCAAGCCACTCCCGCCTCCCACAAGGCCCCGTCCATACAGGAACTGCAGCAGCGGCAGGTGGGAAAATGCTCCGTCCTGGATCTCCGAGAAGGCAGTGTTCACCAGTGTCCTGCAGGGGACACCTGAGTCAGTCCCCCACCTGAGGCCCTCTCCCCCTTCTCACTGCCTGCCTTCTTCACGACTGCCCCCCTGAGCACCCGTGGCCCCAGGCTTAGATCCCCCTCAGCCAAAAGGAGGTTCCACTAGCCACACTCTCATGAGCGCCCAAACACCCACAGTGTGCTGGGTGCTCTCTAGCCATGGGGCCCTCGGATGGGAATGGGGATTAGCATCCTGCTCTCAAGGACCGCACAGCCCATCTGGTCCAGGAGGCCGCTGCTGCAAGTGTCTGTCTGACTGGCTGGGTGCAGAGTGGCTGGCGAGACCAGTGAGAGGCCTCTGCCCCGTGCCAAGGTGCGGTGTGGATGTATCTCCCTCCCACCCCTCCCTGCTGCTACCCCCCCCCCCCAACCCCCACTAGAAGCCTTTCTGCCCTTGATGTGACATCACAGGCAAGGGCCCACAATCTGGGGCAGGCAACACCCCCCCCTCCCTCCAAATCCAGAGCCCTGCACACAGTAGGTCTCATTGATGCTGCTGGTGGTGATGATTCATTCTTGGCCACGAAGTCCTGTTTTCCCCAGCATGGCTGCTGAGCCTGTGTGACTGCAGAAGTCCCTGCCTGGCTGATATCTTGAGTCTCCGGTCCTGAGGTTACTCACCCTGGAGTCCTCCTGGTCCCCATACTCTGCAGAGGGGGAATGGGGTCCTCCCCATCCACTCCC